TTTTTGTTTATGTTTGCTGAATTTTGTAATTTTTCAGGCACATTTTTACACGACACTTTATTATTGTCGTTTTATGTGCCGTTTCGTGCTTTTGTCCACTAATTGTTGTTGTTGTTTGACTCGGTTTTTTTAGGTGTTTTTTTTTTATTAAAATTTTTTTATTATTCTGCTCTCTTGCGCTCACTTTTGTTTTTTTTTCTTATTAATTTTTTACTTTTTTTTTCTTGAGAGAGCTGATAAAACTTATTCACAGCATTTTCATTGACTAGAAAATGCATTTAAATTTTTGTATATTTTTTTTTTCGTTGGTTTAAATTTTGATTGCTTAATTATTTTATTTGTAACTCACAAGTAAGCACACACCGATACACACATACGGAGACACACGGACACGAACCCCGAAACGCGGGGCATGCAACACTTTTCAGTTGTCTCGGGCTCGGTCTTTTCTTGCGAACTGTACGGTGCGAGAGTCAAATGAAGACTGAAGATCAGACAAAGCTCCGTATGGCACATGCCTCCTCCACCCAAGCGCTCTTTTCCCACACACACAGATACTCTCACACAGATACACACACACACACACTCACGGGCTCAGCGAGATTGCGAAAATGCGGCTGGGAGAAAGAGAGAAAGTAACGACCGTTCAGGTATCCTATAAATAGTATGGGTTTTTTCCATATTTTAATAAATAAGTATTATATTTCATAATTTTAGTGTTTAAATATGTTAATAAATGAATAACGTTAGCATTTATTCATTAATATCATTGTCTTTAACGTCTTGAACATCAAATATTAAATATATTGCTCATACGCACTGTTGGTCTTTAGGAACCTTTTGTTTTAATTAAATAAGTAAGAGTGTCGTTTTAAACATAAAAATAGTTTGAATATGTAAGGGAAACTATTTATTTTTAACATATTTATCCTATCTATAACTTTAGTTAATATAAAACTTTAATTTGTAGATATTTAAGGCAAAACATGTATGAATGTAAATAATTTAAATATGTTATAATGTATTTAATATAGAATCTTAACCCACAGTCTAATATACCCTTTATACCACTCGACTAAGCCACGTTAAGTGCCAGCTGGAAATCAGTCCAGAGAGTCTTTGAAGAAAAGAGAGACCGTCTTAAACGGCTCTGCGTACCTGAGGCTCGTGCGTTTGCGGCTGTGTGTGTGTGTGAGAGAGGGAGAGCTCTAGACCCAGTAGGAAATATAGTGCATTTGCTAATGGGGGTTAGAGCCTCTTATCAAGCAAAGCCAACGCAAACAGGTATATTTGTATTTCGTATTGAAAGTCACTTATCTAAGTGGGAGAGCAAATCACCTGGGGAGAGCGAGAGTATTGACAGGAGAGCCATGCTCTCACATCAGAACCTGTTGCCGTGTCCAGTTCTGGGCCCGGTCATAAGTGCAAGCGAGATGGAGTATCTCCAAGAGAGAGCACGCACAGCGAGCCAAGAACCTGTTGCGGCAAAATGGCCTGCAACTTGGCCAAAAAAAAAAAGTAAAGTAAAAACCAAGACCGGAGCCGAAAAAAAAGAAAACAAAGGGAACATCAGAACATCGTGCGGCAAGAAAGCCAGAGCCAAAAGATACAGCGAATGGACAAAGGAAAGGAAAACGGCTGATAAGCAAGGCCGTTGTTGCTGCCACATGAGATCCGAGATTCTGCCGCCCGGATTGAGGATTCTGAGATACCCATTCCCATTCCCATTTCGATTCTGATTCACTTCAAAGTTGATTTATGTTCTGTTTGCACTTTTGATTTTCAGCGCAAGTTGATTTTAATTAAGAGTGTGTGTGCCCTCCGAGAACCAAGAAGAAAGATGGCCAAGAGTCAAAGACCACCAACGAAGACTCGATCCTGAACTTGAACTCTTTAAAAGAAATGTTTATTCAATCAATATTTGCATAAAAAGTTTGGATTCTTTCAGATATTAACCAGGAAGCTAAATATTTCTCTGATAGATTTGAACTTGAGCCCTTGACTTGGCCCAAATCAAAACATTCGGCGCTTGTCAATAATTTTATCGGGCATGACCGAACCGTTAAATCGAAAGCTCTGGCATATCGCACGCAAACCAGGTGCTAATGAGCCAGTTTGTTTCAGTTTTTCAGTTTGGCTAATTTATTGTTTACGGCCGTGCCAAGAGAGCGGCGCAGATTTAACGGTACAAGCGAAAGGTTGGCCCAAACATGCAAATATCTATAATATCGCAAAAGAATCCACCAACTCCAGAACAAAGCCTCAATCAATGGCTGGCTTCAAGTCTTCGCAACGGCTCTTAAATCTTCGTTTAGTTTTTTGTGTCTATTTCCGATAGTTGGTTCATTGAACGATTTTAGACGATCTGTTTTTGGCATCTGACCCATCTCCTAAGGTATCTCCTATGATACTCGCCATATTCCATGCTGGTCAAATGTACACACTGGCCATGCGTAGTTCCAACCTGGGGTCTGAGGTCTGAGGCGGTTCGCACCTATCCAGTCATTCCCAATTAATCATCGCTTTGGCTTGTTGATCCAATCGCATTTGCTTTGCAAAAGACACTGGAGAGTTACAAAGTGGGGAAAGACTGAAAGAGAGGGAGTTGAAACAAGTTTATGGTTGGGGGAGTACACAGAGAGAAAAATAAAGGCACTGCAAAACAATCCATTCTTCCATGGAGTATGGTATTATTCTTATTTATTTTAGAACACTTATAGGCTTGTGAAATCTTTCTAAAATTATTATTATTTTCTCTATGTGCACTCAAAGGGAAGCTTGGAATGTGCCGCGACTATCAATCAATCTGTTTTGGCCCTCCCCGCCAAATTCGGTCTATTGTCCGGCGTTTGTTACCAAATCGCCGTAGACCGGCTTGACTTTCCATAGGAAAAGCCCCGAAATTACTTGAAGGTTATCGCTTATCCGGACTCCCATTCCGTAGTTGGATGGCCAGAGATCGGAGGTGTTTATGTATTCAGGTGTGCGGAACGCGTGGACACTCCCAGTCGCGGTACCGGGTACCCTGATCTCGATCGATATCGCACTGGAGACCTATTTAACGTGGGAAACGGCATTACCTTACAACAACATCATGGCCCTTTTTGCAAAAAAATAATCACAAAAAAAAAAATGAAAACAAAATGTTCAACTAGGAGCGGGCCCCAAATGTGAGTTGCATTTCAATTTTGCAACCGAGAGACTACGGGGACTACGTCATCAGCTTTTCTGCTCCATATGGCAGCAAATTTGCATTCACCCATATGTGTTTTATTTTTCCTGGCCAACAGAGAAGGGTGCGGGGGAAGTCGGAGAAGGTTGGGTCGGGAGCGGTAGAGGGTACGGTAGCGGGAGCGCATTTTTAATGTCAAGCAACTGGCCGCCGCCGCCGCCGGCATGCCAAAGGTATTATGACATACATTTCAATTCAATTTTTAGATAAAGATGCGGCTGCAGATCGTTTTTTTTTTTTCTTTTCTTTTTGTGGATGGCTTTGGATGTGTATATTTTTGAAAAAATGCAACAAAAGCAGACCATAGACAACGGTCAGTGGACAGTGGACACCGGGGGAGGACGTTGGACGACATTTGTGTGGCCCGGCGATGAAGTTCCGCCATTGGCGATGATGTAAACATCCAAAAAAGATACAGATACAGCCGCTCGCCCCGAATCTATCTGATTGAGTACAGTGGGGGATGGATTATAAAGATACATAAAAAAGATATAAGGATAGACTTTGAAACTTGAAACATGGGCTTAGCTTGTCTAGATGGGGGTTTCAAATCCATTTTTTTAAGATAACAGCGATTTCTGTTAAAAGTAATCCCCAAACATCGCACTTAGTCAAAGATCACTGTGATGATCTGTGCCTTAGGGAGCTGCTGGATCTAAGATCTTCAGATCGAACCTCAAGCGTCCTATAACCTGGTGGCATTTGCTGCGGGCCATGCTTTGGTTTGTCAGTCATTCAGTCAGTCAGTCAGTCAGCCAGCCAGCCAGCCAGTTCGTCTAATTGGATTTGCGCGCTTGTGCGTAACTATAAATCAGACTCACACACACACCGCCACGGCCATTGGCGGAGCAGGGACAACCGGTTTGATTGCCAAGTCACCCGCTCATAGCAAACTGCAGAGATCCCATCAAGCTTTTTTCCTCCTCGGCTCCTCAACTATTTGTAAAGTGACCAAAACGGTAACAATAAAAACGAAGAGCTACAAAAAAGTGGCAGTGTTGCTGTTGTTGGTGTTCCAGTTCTTGTTTCCCCATAAACAATATAAAGAATATAATTATGCTGCTGCATAAAAGTAAGAAACGTATCAGCTTACGCAACCCAGAAAGGTGGCCACTGGCCGCCAGAGAAGTCTCCCGAAAGGGGCTTGTAAAATTTACATGACACAAGCCCCGTCGCCGGTCGTGTGAAAATTATTAATGGAGCCACTGTCTCCAACAAGTTCATGTGTCACGTTAATATGAATGGTATGTGAGTGTATAGGAAGTCGGGATCCCTTCCCGGAAAATCCATTTCACGTCCAGTTTGGCCAACAAGCTTTGATTTATCTGGCCACCGCCCAAGCAAGCGGTGTAAGCGGATGTTGTAAGCCCGCAATTGCAAATCTAAATGGCCAAGTTCTAGCTAAAAGGCTAGCAAACAATTAGGGAACATTTTTACTTGATCCAATGGCAGGGGATAACATGGCATTTTTTGTGTGGTCTTCCATCGTCAAGCCCCACATGTGACTTGAACTTACGCTGAACTTGTAGCTTCCTTCAGCTACTTGAATTTCACAAGGAAGGACGTCTGTCGGGGTTATTGAATTACCTGGCTCCAGAATGCCAAAAAACAACAACAATAATGAAATTAATATCAACCCATATGGCTAACCGGTTTTAAAATTGGCGCCACTGAACAAGCTAACCATCTGGCAACACCGGCCCATCGAATTTTTCCGCCGATAACAATATCGGAACCTATAGACATGAGCTCGTGCAAGCATAAAACTATCGAGTATTTGTGCTTCTCGCGCAAATTGTTTAAAGCGCGAATTGTTAATTACTAGAAGTTCTCAACCAATATGGAAGATCAGTACTCCTTGAGTTACGTAAAGAAGGTGCTGCACTCGCTGGTGGTGTCTTCGCCCAACTTTATGACCATTGACAAGCTGCAAAGGGATTACCGCTCCGAAGAAGGGTGCAACGTGCCATACGCCAGACTTGGATACAAAAGCCTAGAGGGCTTTCTGCGGGACCTTACGGACACCTTTACTGTGTGTATTAAGCTTTTCCAATTTTTGTACAAAATATGTAAACTTTGTCTATTTATCAGGTTAGGGGCACCGGGCTTACTGCCTCCGTAGGGGCTGTCGCCTCATCCAAGTCCGGGCACATTCAGCAGTTGGTCCAGCAACAAAAGAAACAAACCAATAGAAAAGGAAATCGCGGGAATCAAAGAACTCACTACCAGACAAGTCGCAGATCTGATTTCATCTTCATAAACGAAAAGCCTGGCATCATGAATGCCAGACAGACCCCGAGGTCGACCTATCAGCCACAAGTTGCGGTATCCTGCCAACCCAATTATAGTCGCCTGCAATATCCTGTCCACAGTCAGCAATATATGCAGCAGGCAGCGGTATCTTATTTGAACTATAACAACCAGATGTATCCCATATACTCTTCCAATCCACAACAATATCCCAACTATAACACGCCATACCCCGTCTACACTCCCAATTCTTATATAGACTATAATGCTTTGGTTTGGGCCGGCTGGCAACAATTATCTAACTACCTTTTTGAAGTTGAGAGACAGAGACAACTTACCCAAGCATTTCTTATTTCCCAGAATTTTCCCCGTCCCCAGCCCCAGAGGCGGCCACCACGCCCACAGCCTTTTAATATGCACGTGAACATTCCGCCAAAGCCAAAAATTCCAGAACGCAGGATCAACAGCGCCACAATTGTTGAAATAGTTGATTCTTTGTCAAACCTAAAACTAGACAATGAGACCGAAAAGGCTGAAAAAAATCTGCCAGAAAAAGTACCCGATGTCAAAAGTGTTCCCAAGCCTCCATGCTCCTCAGATGATGAAAGGTCATCTAACACGGAGTCAGAAATAATACTCAAGGATCCATTTACATCGGAGGATGAAAAGCCCGTTGATTCTAAAGTTAATACTCTTGAAAAACAAGATTGGATCTCGAGCGATGAAGATGAGCATGCCAAACAACTTCCAAAGTCCTTGGACACAAAATATGACAATAATTTCAATGGATACTCCTCCTCTGAAGACGGCATGGATGAAGATGCCATCCCAGCCTACGCTTTGGTATGATTACCTCTAAGTTTTATTGAAACCTCTAAGTTACAACTTTTAAACATTTTTTCATAGGACGATCGAGTATTAAATATTGACTATCCGGTAGAAGCTGTTCGGTCCGGGTTAAAACTTCCACAGCGCGATGTTGAAGACATACTTTTTGTAGATGATCGCATAGAGGTCCAGCTTGTAAGGGTGGACAATCCGCACCAGTTCTATTTCTGGATTTATAACACCGAAATAGATTCGTACAAAGCCATGAATTCCAATATGCAGTAAGTTATATTTGACTACCCAAATTACAAATGTGATCATTTTTTCTCTCAGAGAATTCTACGATTCCCATTCCACGGATAAGTACATAATGCCACTGTGTTTGTTAACGACGGGACATCTGTGTGTGGTGCGATCCACCACGAACGGCTTGTGGCAGCGGGCGGAGGTCTTGCGCCACCGTCCTGGGAATAAGAAGCCTCTTGAGGTGAAGCTAGTTGACACAGGACACGTCATGAACGTAAGCTACACCAGTGTCAAGTACTTGGTGAAGGAGTTTGCCAACTTGCCGGCACAGTGTTTCATTGGGCGCCTGGCTTATGTTACGCCCTGGAAGGGTCACTCCTGGTCAGCCGATGCTGTTAATTTCTTCTTCAAGCTTGTCTGCTATCGCAGGCTTTATGCCAAAATCGAATCAATTAAGGTAAATCGATATAAATGAAAAGAAAGCTTCAAATTAAATCTGTTTTCTTTTCAGGACGATAATGTCTATGTGGTTCTGGTGGACCCAGACTCCAAAGAACACACTAGGAACTTAAACAAGGCGCTGATCGACTCTGGTTGGGTACGACGCTGTTACACCTGTTGAAATCTTCATCATAGCTTACGCATAAAGAGTTATATTTTTTGTTTTCTTAGTTAATTACTTTTAAGTGGCAAATGAATGTCCCACTGATCTCTTTATTTTCCTTCGAACCGCACAATGAAACTAATTTTGTTATTTTTAAGGCAAACGCTGTCCTTCTGCTTTTGTTTTTTTATTAGTTTACGTGTAATAAAATACTAAGTTACATAAATCCTTGAACAAGTCGCTGTCCTCTACTTGCCTCGATTTATGCTCCCGAAATTAAAACAAACAAGGCTTGCAACAGAGATCTGCACGCAACTAAGTAGTCTCATCCTGAACGGAAACTCTGAATCAGAATGGAAAATCATGATCTTGCTCGGCGGCAGGCCCGCAATAAATACTTTTTAAATGTAACTGAGGCGGTTTTTTGTTTTTTTTTTTTTAACAATTCCCTATAAAAGACAACATTGTCTATGTTTTGTATATATATGTTGTGTATATAGTTGGTTTCTTGCCTGTTTTTTTTTTCTTTTTTGCTTTTGGTGACCGTTGAAACGACGGCACCCTGAGGTTGGTTTTTTTTTTTAAGTTTTTTGTTAATATATTTTTTGTTTCTTTGTTTTTGTTGAGGCTTTTCTACTACGTTGTGTGTCGAGTGGTGTTTTTTGTTTGTTAGTGAGTGAAAAACTAATAGTTCAACTACTAATGCGCATTTCGTTAAATTTGCTTAAATACTTTTCATATTTTTTTTTTTTGTTTTTTGTATATTGCTGAGTTCTGTTTTCCCTTTTTTTGTTTGTTTGCAATGCGTATTTAAATATGCTATATAATCGCAATAATACATAATTGTTTGGTTGTTTGTTTGTTTGTTTGTTGGTTGCTCGAGTACATAATAGCTACGCGCATAAATATGTTTGGTATGCTGGTATCGCTTCGCTTCGTTTATATCATAAGTTGATGCTTGTCTGAGTTACCTGCTCCTGTTATCCTGCTCTCCTGTTCAGCTGCAGGTGTTTGCGTTTGCTGGGTGTGTGTGTTTTTGGAGTGGATTTTTGTGTTTGTAGTAGGTCCATAGGACTAACACCTATGTAGCAATTCAAAAGTCTATTCACTTCGTTAACGTTACAATATCGTGGGCATAAAACTTATTTGTAGATTTTACTTTTTAAATGTTTTTTTTTTTTTTTGCGTGTTTGTGTGAGGGTGTTGTGGGTGTTTGGCAAACTCCTCTATGGCTGTGGGCTGTATCTGTGTGGTTGTGATTCTGAATCTGATTCTGATCTGTCTGCTGAGTTGCTGAGTTCTTCTCTATATATCGTATAATTTATCTCTGTATGTACTCGTTTTCTCTTTTTTTTTTTGTTAATTTTCTTTTTTCGATTCTTATATTAAAGTCATCACAGTTAGCGGAGCTGAAATTATGAATAATTATTGAGGACATTTTTGTGTAATTGTTTTTGTTTTTTTGTTGTTTTTTTTGGAATTTTTTTTCGTTTTTAATACGTTTTCTACTAAATCGCAATTGCATATATAGAGTGTCTACCATAAATTGATTCTTTTTTTTATTAGTGTACTCTTATCGCGTCTTGGGGTTCCTTTTTTACTAAATTATTATATACGCATGTGTTGGTGTGTGTCTGTGTGTGTTTTGGAGTCCTGTGTGTTGTTGAGTGTGTGTGTCGGTTTCATTCATCAATTTTTGCTGTTGGGTGAGTGAGTGTCTAGCGAACTGCTGGTTTCAGTTTCAGATGGTTGCCCGGTGCCCGGAGGCGCCGACGATCTGCATCGTGCCTCAGTGTCATGGAGTGTTGCCCTCGAAGAGAGCGCGAAACTCGCCGCTCCTCGGTCGGGGGAGACCCTCGCGTATCGTCTGCACCGGCTCAGCAATGCTCGACTCTGACCCATGCAGTAAATTCTCCTTGAGATCCATGTCACTATGGGATACATTTAAAAATTACATTAAAACCATAGAGATAATCCTTTTTAGAAATACTTACTCATCTTTGCAGTCATCCGCCTCGGCAGCCAAGGCATTCACCACAGCCGTTATTGTGTTGGACTCCGGGTTGCTCAGCTGCTCGTCCTTCTGCTGCATTATGTTCGGATTCTTGCCAATCTTGTTCAACCGCTCGGCGGCCACAGTCTCCATGGTCTTGCGCATCAGCGGATACTGGTCCAGAACGCAATTGAAATGATCCACGCTCAACGAGAATAGATTGCAATAGGTTTCGGCTCGCACGCTGGCCACACGACGCGCATTGGTCAGCAGACAGATCTCACCGAAGTAAGAGCCATCCGATAGTGAGGTGGCAACCTAAAAGTATCAGGTTTTAATATATATGAGGGTATATCTATTACAAAATTACCTCGCCGTTGGCCATGACAATGTCCACCACGCCCTCCTGTATGAAGTACATCTTTGTACCGATCGTACCCTCCTTTATGATAATATCACCTGGAAAATAAGTTAGTTATAAATAAAGAACCTCTCTATGGCACAAATCTACACCCACCTGGTTGGAAAACTTCGTATTTCAGTTTGGTAACTACGTCGGAAACGAAATTCGAATCGGCATTAGCAAAAAAAGGCACTGACGCCACGAGGGATCTAGGAAATAAAAATAGGAGATTAATATTCACTTATAATTAACGTAATTAAGTAGATCTGAATACTACAATTTATACTAAAACCATCTGGAAAAAGAAATTAGGAATATAGGACATTAGATAGCGATAGATCGCCCACCTGCAGTTGTAGTTGATGACATCCTCGCGCAATTTCTCGCTCAACTCGCCAAGAATCAACTCCTCATCGAAGAATTTACCCTGGTACCGATGCTCAAAGTATTCCGTAATGCGTTGCCGCATATCCCGAGGCAGCTTCCGATAGGCCATATACTCCTCCACCTGTTTGACCTTCTCGCGATACTGACGCCGGCTGGAGTCCAAGCTCTGGATGAGATTGGTCGCATGACCGAGGAACAAGGCGTAACACGTGGCGCCCGATATCATCGATAGCATCGTCAGCCACATGTCTGTCAGTGATTGTGGTGGGAATCTAATGAGCAGATAAAGCAAATTAGCCCTAATATATTATGGTAGTATAGTTGAGAGCTCACCTGCCGTAGCCTATGCACAACATATGCGACATGGCCTTGAACAACGCCCACGAATACTGCTCCAGCCAGTAGGATTCCTACATATATTTTGTTTTTTTTAATAAGAACCACAAACCATACACTCTTTAGGAGTAGTATTAGCGCACCTGCAACTCGTTGATGGAGACCCAGGAGTTGGATGGAAAACCCTGCAACATTGGCACTAAGAACTGCAAGCAACCGCTCCAATGGCCGATCAGGAGCATCATGCAAATTAAATTGAAGATCCTCATGAAAACCGAGGCCATATTGAGGAACTGCAACCAGAGAGGTCAATCAAAAAAGAGTGCACATCAACGAAAGCCCAACACCGCTAGTGTCTGTGTGAGTGTGTAGCTGTGTGTATGTTTTTTTGTGTATAGTGGTGTGTTACATCTGTAGTTGTGAGTTCCACATATATATATATATTTTTTTTTCTCTATATAAAACCAAAGGTCTCATGTAAACGAGAGAGAAAAAACCCAAACGAGAAAATAAAACTTGAAACTATTTACGTTTTTTTGGCGCAATTTGTGAAGATTTTTGAAAAAATGATTTTTTTAGCGTTTCCAGCTACCGGTAATTATAACAGTTATTGCGGTTATGCCAATTAAAGCAACTAAAACAAACCAAACCACAGCCATTAAACAAGAAATTACTGAATCAATCAATCAGCGCCTCGCCTCCGCCGACCCACTCTGCCCGATAAGTATGCAACATTTAATATGGCATTCCACTTCGGGGTCTTCCGATCTCGGTGCAGAGCGGCTCGGAGGCGATATGTTGGACAATAAATCCGATAAGATAAAATAAGATAAGATTAGTCTAGTGTTAGGCAATACAACAGTGTCCGGTGTGTACGGTGTGTACATTTCGTGTACAGTGTACAACCTGAGCAATCAATCCAAAACTCAATCAATCAAAGTCAAATTCAAATTCAAACCATTTCTACATTTCGAATAAGTGCAAAATCAGCTGCTAAATTATGGTACAAGTGCTCATCTTTACTTTTGTTTTGTTTTTTTCTTAGTTTTGTTTTGTATTTTTTGTTTTTTTTCATATTAAACATAATTATGGACACTAAGCCGTTCAAACGTTCAAATTATCGAAATCGAAACTTGTATTTTACAATGAAAGCGTTTTTTTTTTGTTTGTTTGTCTGTTTCGTTTTTGCTGACTTTCGCAGTTTGTTAGTAATCGGAACTACCTAATTCTGTACAAAAAAGTATTTAAGTAAACAAACCAACGAAATGTACACAAAAATTAACGAAAGCAAACGAACCGGAAACGGAAACGAAAACACAGCAAGAGCAGGAACACATAGACAGAGAGAGAGATCAAGACGGTAAGATAGAGAGGGAGCGGTATTGACATAAAAAAAACAAATAACGGTTGTTGCATTCAAGAATTCAGTGGCTGTAGCTGCGCAAGTGTGCGTGTACATGTGTGTGTGTGTGTGTCTGTATGTGGGTGGGATTTACTCCAAAAAGCTTCAACTTTTATTTTCTAAACGCGTTCCTGCTGAAATCTTTTGTACAACAGAAGAGTTAGAGAAGTAGGAGATTGTAAACAAAATAATCAATTCACCAAAAAACCAAACCAAAATCCGGGAACAATAAAAAACAATAAAGAACAACAGTAACAACTATGGCAGAGAAAAAATATTGCAAAAATATTCGAATCAGAAAGTTTTCAAAGGCATAGCATAGTAAGAAAGTCTGGCAATGATGGAATAAATAAAATACATAAAAGCTAATATTAACGCAAACTTTTTTCTCTGTGTAGTTTGGTAGAAAGGGAGCAAAGATAGACAGAGTAGAGAGTGGGGAGCGGAAAGCGCGCAGCACATAAGCGGAAAGCGTTGAGCAGAGTGTCGATCAAAGTGAGGTTAAGTTGAGTACGATAGATACGGTATAACGGTATTAGGTTAGGATATGTGGAAGCGTTCGGCACTGGCCCACAAATGTATGCTATAAAATACGAGTAGTATGTGGCTAGATATAGTACAGTGTTCGTGTTCGATCCGATTGGTCGTTGGATCTGTTTGGCCTGCCCCAGATCCTTGTTCTAAATGTAATATATAATTTGTATCGGTGTATGTCTGGGTGTCTGGATCTAAAACCTAAAACCTAAGGAGAAAGCAGCGCAGCTATTACATATCCTATATATACAATGTAGTGCATTAATGACGTTTTTTTTTTTTAATTTTTTAGTGTTTTTACAACATCTTGATCCGTGCTGCTTTTGTTTTTGTTATTATCTCGTTTAATAAGCAAAAAGCATTCAAAACACACACTATACACTGCGTAGCCGTAACATCTCCTGAGATCTGTAGCGTTTTCATGCTCTTCGCAGCGATTTAGTCAAAAACCCAGCTAGTCTGCGGCGGAAAAGTTATATACGAGTAGCATTACGATAGTTTTTCCGATCATGCCCAACATGCATGGAGTCAAAAAGCTACGATATCTAGCGAATATATTATATATTACATTAGCCTCTCATCTCATCTGATTCTACGTTATGGGAAGAGCATGAAAATACCTTCGATTCGGGACCGAAGACTGATTACAAAATGAATTGTGTTTTTGGTTAGCTGCTCTTGTTTCGCTAGACTCTCTTCATAATTTTCATTTTATTGAGATTTCAATTAATGCATCAAATGAGAAATAGAGATTATGTATGACAATATTAATCAATCAATCAATTAATCAATATGGTATATAAAAAGGCAGTCTCAGAAAATTTACAGAACGTACGAACGAACGAACATTAAAATCAAGCAAACATGATCAACGAACAATCGAACAATCGAACGAACGAACAATCGAACGAAATTATGCACTAAAACTCAATTTTGGCCAAAACATTCCCCATAAATGTGAGTCATGTTTCGAACCAATAATACATAATCATAATTTCAATCAATCAAGGCTTTTGGTTTTTTTTTTTTTTGTTGTTGTTTATCAATATATACTGAAATTTGTTGTGTTTGTTGATTTTGATATCATTTTTTGTTTATTACTTTTTTTATTTGGATGGTTTACCTTGAGAATTAGGTTGCTTTTTGTCAAGCCATCTTTGTCTTTTCTGTGCATTCTCCCTCTGCGATCAGCACTTTTTTTCTGTAGATTCTGCAGAATCTAAAAACCATATATATACACAGGTATTTTAGGCCCTGAATTCAGCTAAGTTGGATTTTTGTATTTGTTTTGTTTATTTTATTTTTGATATTGGTTAAATTCTAATTGTTTGTTAGTCTTAAACTGATTTTCAAAAGCATCATCGCTTGAGTTGAGCTTTAGTTTCAAAAACAAAATAAACATAAATCATAAGCTATACGGTGGTTTCCAAATTTTACGCTGAAGAAACTGTACTTGTACGTATCTCATGGGTGGAGGATAGGTTGGTGTGGGAAGTGGGAAATTCTGGATAGTGGTCGGGGAAAACGGATCAGGATATATATAGAGAGATATAGGGCCCTCAGAGAGACCTTCTTAAAAGAGTTTTTGTACAAAGTGCAATGAAGTTTATCGTTTTGAGTGCTTCAAAATCGGCAGAGAAATGAATAGGAATATATATATTATAGAATATCAGAACAGAAGCGATAAATCGAAGACTCAACTGAACTGAAGAAATGTGGAAAGAAAGCAAAGGACTCTTCCCGCGGCACAAGTGAACAAGTTCTCAAGCTTAGCGAGCGCGTTAGATGGTTAGAAAAAAATAACCCAAAAAAAAAGGATCTTCACTTTCGATTCGAGTTTATTACGAGTATGTATGTCTGAGTGTATGTTTTGTATATTTGTGTGTAAGAAAGAGAGAGGGGTGGTGTGTGTGTGTGTGTGTGTTCTTGCAGTACTCGGTCTGGAGGGATATTTTGTCAGGATATAGTACATATCTGGTCTGAAGGACTCGAAGCGCAGCAGGCGCACAACACGAAACAAACATCGGGATTATTTAAGTCACACAACTTTGTATAATGTACAAACTGAGTTGGCTTTATGGTACAGCGATTGTCTGGTTCTATGTTTGATTGGCTTTATAGACACACATACTGAGGTTGGAGGTTGAGGAGGTACGAGTATATATATATACTTATCAATATTTGGAAAACAAAACGATTGGTAATCGAACGCAAAGGATTCAAAAACGTTTAAACGGAAATCAAAGACACAGAGGTTCCAGATAACAACTCAAAGAAAATACAAAGTTTGAACATTTCTGCGCGTCATCTACAATTTCTCAAGATTCTTATTTAATTTTTTTTTTATTTTTTACTGCCACACACTTGTACACGTACACATGTAACAAAGAAAAGTGAGCACTTTTTGGGGACACTGTATACATTATGTTCTCCCCTGACCACTGACTAACTGCAGTTACCTATGAGTTCTGTCCTTGATCCTACATAGAACCTCAAATCTGTTTATACTTTGTGGTGTGGAGTGAACGAGTAGAGTTATGCTGATCTTACGGTTGAGAATTTGGAGCAAACTAAAAAAGAAATTTCAAACTAAAGATCGGGGATTCTCGGGGAAGAGATCAAGGATCTCAAAAAGTGGAAATGAAAAGTTAATGGCAAGGGAACAAGTTCCAGCATCAAAGTGATATTCCAGAATATCAACTTGATCTGATCGTTTGTATTTCTAAACTTTCCCATGATTGTATCGTACAGATGTGTGTTTGAAAAAAATGAAAACCAGGGCAGGATATTAAACACTTTGTTATGCAAAACAAAAGATAGAAACGAAATTAAAACTGATACTGATACTGACACTGAAACAGAAACTGAAGAAAACGCAAATAGAACTAAAAAAACTGGCAAAATGAACCGGGGTGTACTCACATAGACCTCCTCCCATTGGGATACGTAGCGCACCAGACGGGAGAGCCTCAGGAGGCGGACCAGGGAGAGGAGCTTGGCCAGGCGCAGGATGCGCAGGGCTCGTCCGGCATGCAATATTTGAAAAGAATCAGAGAAATCCTGCAATTTCATAATCTTAATCAAAATGTTGCGTACTGCTGCTCAAATACATTAACTTACTTGATTGAAAATTAAAAATATATAATCTAGCGGTATCGACGAAATCAAATCGAGAAAAAACCAAGTTCTTAAATAGTGTTTAGCTATAAGCTTTGGATCCAATATTACTTGTTCAGCGTTGTCTTGTTGCATAATTCCTGTAAACATATACATTCGGGCGAAAGATAATGGTTAAGCAGGGGCAAGGACCAGCGCATGGAACCACTTTTCAGGGACTCTCAGGGACTTAAGGGGCTCTCTGTATACATAGTTTTTTTTTCTTTTATGGATTTGTTAGTGGAAATTACCTGTTCTAAAATTGACTACAATATCTATTAAAAAAATAGTATCACTTAGGCAGTTGAAGGCAATCCATCGTGTGCTCAGATCATCGTTGAAGAATGATATTGCGACTGGCAGGATAATAAGATTTGCTACTAATAATAAAAGCATGCAAAGGTCCCAGTAAAACCTGTAAGAATAGATATTCAAACAAATGCGTGTACAACGTTGCGTATACTTGATAAAGTTAAAGAGCTCACCTGAATGAACTGCACGGGTGTATGACCCAATGCCCGGAAGTTTTCTGACGTATTCGCTCCTTGACCAGTGCCTTTCGGCTGCCAAACAGTTTCATGGCCAGTCGGTTGTCCGTTGGCTGGAACCATGATTGCAATTGACTTTTTAGGAAATTCGCAGAGACTTTTTCCGACACGATCGGTATGTTGGGCATGGGCTCCTCTTTCGGAGTGCCGTACAACGACACGTCATCAAAGTGTACCTGTTGGAAGGACATGTTGTCTTGATTAGTTATTATCCTTTGAAACAGTTGCCTATAAAAGCAGTCTATGTCATTGGTCTTCCTAAATGATTAATGATTAGGGCTTTGTGATATGGTATAGTCCTGTCCCGTGCTTGTTGTATAAATAAAACCTTTGTCCTTGCCATTTCGGTTCCTTGGTCGCATATTAGCAGGGCCTCATCATCGAAAGCGGTGACCAGGGAGTCGGTGCAGGTGTTCTCGAACGAAATGCGAAGATCGTTCTCGTTCACATTCAGCACCGAGCAGTAGGAGCAGCGCACCGATTCCTCACTATCCCCGCTCAGCAAGCTGCAATGGCATTGATATACAAATACATTTAATTATAAATAAAATCCCGTTCGATAAACAAGGAAGCTGTAATGGTTTCGCTACAAAATTTATGCCACAAGGCGGGCAGGCCGAAAAAAAATGAAAGTGAAACTACTTTTTGGGGTAGGGGGTTTCCAGTTCATTTTTTGTTTTTGTTTTGGGTTGCTTTACAGGTCAGGTTTTTACAGTTTCTTAATACCCTAACAAAGGTATAGTTAGTTTAGGATTACGTTTAAGTTTTTTAAAGTTTTTTAGCAGCACTCTACAAGCTCTAGGTTTTTACACATTTTTTTGTTAAATTATATGTTGTTTTAGGGTATTCCCCTTATCGATCTCTAGACTAGGCCCTCAATTTCTGGTTATTTTTGCTGATTTTTAATTGTCGCACACGCACAATCCACAAGTCTACAAGTCCAAGTGGAATCTGAGTAGCCAAGCCGCCGGGGCTCACCTTGCCCGCTAACTATGTAGATGGTGACTGTCAAGGTTTCCCGGAGACAAAACCGGCCACCTCCCTTGTGCCCCAAGCCCCAGTTAGTTGGCTTGTATTTCGTATTTTTTAGGAGCTGCCACAAAAAAAACAAACACTAAACACTGAACACCTAGAAATCGCGTGGAATAGTACGGTTGTTATGGATATTATTCACGGCGGATCGGTACGGATCGGATCGGCGGGAGTCTATTGTTAAAGCCGCGAGGAGACGCGTGCTCGTAGTTACGTTATTTATTTATGTAGGTTTTCTTTTTTTTTTTCCACTATATATTTTTGTTCAGCATTTTTTATTCGTAATTCTTTATTGTGGGTAGTGTTGTGTTGGGTTTGGGCTTCTATTATTACCGCTCTCATTTTTATTTCGCCTGTTCACACTCAATTGAGTGTAGTTTTTAAATGGGAAAGTTTCGTTTTAATTAAGCCTGATGAAGCTGATTTAATTTAATCTTGACCGTCATTGGCATTAGGCTAATGAATTTATTAGTTATTGTTACCGACCGACCTGGTGGCTCACAGTATTTAATTTCAAACTTAATATTGCATTACCCGATGATGCACTACTACTTATTACTTTCAGGGGTTTAGGATTCGGAAGCGTTTTCTGTTGTGGTTTCGGAATTTATTTCACTCTATTGGCTTTTTGTTTATTTGTTATTATTGGCGGGGGCTTCTCCTTGTCTATATTTGTTATTATTATTAATGTTGTTGCTGGCAACTGACAACTGGAGACTATCAACTAGCAACGTGCTGGAGCAGATGTTTTCACTGATTTGATGACTGATTCGAGCACACACTCACACAAATAGGTCTGCCGGCGAATCGGAGAACTTCAAAATACAATATGGGCTATATATATATAGATATTGTGTGGAACAACGGGTACTTGGAGTGATTACAGCGGCAAACTTTTTGCGACTAGAGGTTGTCGCTCGGCAATCGCTTGAAAATCGCCGGCAAACACTCCGAAAACCGAACGGCGCGACTTCGTAGCGTTTCGGAAACGCCTCGGGCGATCCTCCTTCTCGACGGCCAAATTGTGGGTGGTTTAGCTTTTTTTATTTAATTTTTTTTATTTATTTATATTTTGTTTGCTTTACCTCGAATATCAATTGCCGGACAATCGGACAATCAGACGATCGGACGATGGCAGGAATTGCAGTTTTGCTTCCGAGAAGAAATTGGCTTTCAATTGCCTAATTAAATAATTGAGAGATTGACACTGTTCTTTACTATTTTTTGTGGGTTTTGTTTTCTTTTTTATTAAGCTGTACGAGTCGATGCTGCGTCGAGTTGATAACCTGTTCTGAACCCCGCCGGTTGTTGCACAATAAATAAATAACGAATTTGTGTTGCCTTTTAATTGATTTCGCGACGAGCAGCGACGCAAATTATGACTGCTGCTGTTGCCTGTAATTCGCTGTCTTCACAAGAATTGATGCCAATAAAAGCACCGAGCCACAAAAACTGGAAAAACTATATCCGAAAACAGCCGAACACAGCCCCAGGGGGAGGGAACATAAACAAACCCGGCGATTCCATACCGAAACGCGAAAATACTTCTAGATTTTATGCTAATGTATTCGTCTATAGATCGTTTTGTTTGGGCTTCGGATCAAGTAAAAGGAGGAAATAATGCCCGGGGTTGTGTTCTCGTTTTGCACTCGTCTAGGTCGCTATTTTATGGAACTATTCACCCGGGCCAGCAATCGCCTATTGAACAGCAATCGCAATCAGACTGATAATGGAAAACACCTTTCTGGTTATCGATTCAATTATCAGCGAGAATAGCAAACAAAGTTGCAGGATTCACACAGAACAGCACAATATTGTAATTATTTTCTATTTTATTTTCGAAACTCTGGACCCGCTGGTGGAGTTCACTGCTCGACGGGCATTAGAAGCTTATTGCTTGAAGTCCGAAGCTCGCGGAGTGAGAATCTCGGTTTGACGACGACGATGGCATTATGCAAATTTCCGGCGATAAGCAGAGCAAAAAAAAAAGTCAAGAAAAAAGCACTCGAAAAAGCAAAAAACCGGTAAGAGATGGCCGAGACGTCGCTTTGAATTCGAGTAATTCCCGGCTGTAAGCCGAGGTAATGTTTGAATGGATTTTCGATTCTTGGAACTAAGAAATGGGACGAGTGGAAAAGTTTGTAGGTTTCGGTTTCAGGGAACCCCTTTTGCATTCCAAGACTGCTGCCACAGATATTAATAGACTGATTCAATGGTAATTTCAAACTGGTATTGTAATTATTGTAATTTTAAAATTGTATTCTTGGAGCAATTTCTAGGGCTGAGGTCTATGCTGTAGATTTCTCAATGGAACCAGTTTGAAATTAAAAAACAATACAGAAGCTATCGGCTAGACTGGCTAGACATTTAAATTCTTATGTTCTGAAAGCTTGTTTTTGTTCTGAAGTTTTGCATCTAAAGTTTAGGCTTAAACAAATTATACAAAAATTAATTATGAAACTATGTGTCATGGAAGCTCAAACTTCGTGAATAGAAGCCTCTCAAAATAAATACTACAAATAATTACTTAAAAACTTGAGGCTAATTTAAGAAATCTTCAACCTAATCAACCTAAAACAAATATTTAATTATACAAGTATTTAAGGCCAGTCTCCAAAACAAATATCTCTTTATACTCTATAAAAAGGGGGACGTTTTCTACTTCCAGTTTACAAAGACACATATTGTTTAATTTTTATGGACTGTCAAATAAATATTTTTATTAGTTTGTTAAATGTTTTTAATTTTTTTAAGAAGAAGTTATTTGTATAAACTATTTTGGTTACCCGGAATCATCATTTTTATTTTTATACTTTTTGTTTTAGAAACCATTTCAGAAAATCTATAAAAGTCGATTATTGGATTACTCACCGATCGCCGAGCTTGCCTTTGTGCCGCCGGATGTGGCGGCGATTGAAGCTGTTGGTGCACGAGGTGGAGGTGGGCCTCGAGGAGGGATACGGCCCCGGATGGTGACCCTGGGCCCCGAAGCTGTGCAGCTGGAGCGCCGCCTTGAGATTGGCCGGCGCGGTGGCCGAGGAGTGCGGCTGGTAGTGGTGGTGGTGGTGGTGGTGTTGGTTGCTGTTGTACGGATACGGATACGGATAGGTCACTCCGGCACTGGCAACGGTGATGGTTGACTCGCCGACGGGCTCGTGGGCCTCCGAGGAGCCCTCCTGCTCCGGCTCCTGCTCCTGCTGCGACCCGTTGCTGGAGGAGTGGCGAGTATAGTCCGTGGGCGCGCTGAGCTGGCGATTGAACTCGGCCTTGCGCCGGGTGAGATCCGTGAGGCAGTACTTGTTCAGGTGTCCGTTGCTGCTCACCGAGCTTTTGGGCGAGACGGCCGCCGCTGTGGCAGATCCGTGGCCGAGTCCCAGTCCCAATCCAAGTCCCAGTCCCGATCCTGCACCTGCTCCGTGGCCTTGGGCATGCAGCTTGTGGCATGAGTTGCTGCTGGCGCTGAGCAGGTTGCAGTTCTTTCCCCCGCCGCTGCTGCTGCTGCTGTTGATCTTGGCCGCCAGCGAGTGCGGCACCGGAGGATTCTTGCCCGTCGCCGGAATCGTGTGGCTGCTACCTGCGACGCTCCCGCTCTCGCTCCTCACAGACCCCCGATGTCCGGGCAGGGTCTTGGACGCCTCTCTACCGCTACCGCTGCCTCCGCTGCTGCTGGTCTTCCCTTTGAGGGATCCGTTCAGCAGAAGCTGTTGCTGGCGGGCAGCTACCGCGGATAAGGCCGGCAACTGCTGGGATCTTGATGCGCAGGATACGGATGCCGAGGAGGAGCTGGCTGGCGCCGAGCTAGATTGCTGCTGTGGCTGCTGCGAAGTGGAGGCCACCTGCGGCTGCAGCGAATGCTTCTTTTCCACCAGGTACAAGTTCAGATACTTGTCGCCCGGATGCAGCGAGTTGTCCGACACGGCGTTCGACTTGCTGATGATCTGGCCCTTCTTCTTGGCCGTGCGCGTCTTCAGGGAGAGATTGCGCAGCTTCTTGGACTGCTCCTTGATCTTGTTGGTGCGCAGGAACGAGGGGCTGTTGGCGATGCACTTGAAGATGTACGTCTCGTTCACCAGCTGCTGCTTATCGCTGCCACTGAAGTCGTACTCGCTGCTCAGATTCAAGTTGAGGTTGGTCAGATGACGTCGCTCCCGTTCCCTATCTCGGTCCCTGTCCCTATCTCTTTCGGGGTCTGGGTCCGGATCAGGGTCTGGCTCCGTCTGGGCCAACTGCTGGTCGCTGTAGTGGCTCTTGAGCAGGGAGCTGCCTGCCCCAGCTCCGGCTGAAGCTCCCTCGGAGGCGGCGGCACTTAAGCTGCGCGAGTACTCGTGGCAGGCATCGTAGAGCGCCACAGACTGGCCACCGGTGCTACTGACGCTCTGCGTCCCACAGCTCACCGGACTGTGGCTGCTGTCGAGGATCCGGAGGCCGCTCCGACTGTCGCTGGAGTTCTGCTTGGAGATGCCGCTGGTCGAGAGCCGGCTGCTGCTGCTGCGCTGTCGTTGTTGCAACTGTTGCAGCTGCTGCTGCTGGTGTTGCTGTTGCTGGTGGAGATTCGGTTGCTGGTGGTGGCGATGCTGCTGCTGCTGCGGGTGCTGCTGCTCATCGGACGCCTGCTGGCCGTTGGAGAGACTCACCAGGGACTGGCGCACCAGGTGCTGCTGCGAGTGGGAGTGCCGTTGCTGCTGATCGCGACTGTCCGGGCACAAGTTGTCGCGGCTGGCTCTGTTCACATCCCAGGTGGGCATCCAACAGTGTCCCGAGATCGCGGGCGAATCGAAAAAAGAGGAGACACCAATATCAGTATGACTCTGGAATTAATGTGAGCCGCGAATCTGGCAAACACTCGAATATATCTATTTTCAAAATGGCAAGCAAGCTTCGGAGGAGGCTCAGAGGTTTAGAGGTTCAGAGGGTGAATGCCACGCTAAAGTGAGCAGGAAACAGAAACAGTACGTTTACGGTTACGGTTACGGATAATATATACATACATGTGTGTGCGGGTGGGTGTATGGGTCTATGGAAAACCGCGAGACAAACAAAGAAAATTCTTAATTATAAATATTGATTGTGCAACATGTGAGAGCGGCCGAGAGGGGGGGCGATCTAAAGCATTGGCGAGGGGTGTTTGGTGGGTTGGGAGTATCGCATTCCCGGCATGTGTGTGAGTTCATCAGTACAGCAGGTACTCGATAAAGCAAACGATCTATTGATAATGTTAGTAACTCCATCAGTGGTATGGTTTACTATCCTTAATACCATCCCCAAGTTCCTCAACTTCCCTATCTGGCAAATAATCTCCCTTAACCAATTCCCCCAAGTCTTCCAACTAATATCCCTTTTTTAAAGAACCCACTGTAAGCACAATGTGTGATATAATTTATAAAGACATCCATATACAATGGTTGACATGCTCATCTGGTTTCTGATCGCGCGAAAAATTCAACTAAATTAATGTATGCCGGCACGCAGGCCTGGCACTGATATAGCCGCAGATACAGACACAAGCACAGATACAGATACAGATACCGATACCACACTGGCGCTAACAAATAACTAGACCAAATGAGATATGTACGAGTACCAACGCGTGCCGGAATAGAACTGGACCCGATTCGGCACAGTGGGCGTCGGAAGTACCCTAAATCAAATTGGCCAAAATAGGCAAATGGCCAAGATAAGATAAGGCTGCGACAGACGGCTGATAACTGGCTTGGCGAAAAGCAAATATTATATAAGGAGCGGAAGCTGCATATTTACAAATGACTTGGCGGAAAGGCAGAACCATTCCGGACCACTGTGAGTTGGGCAATCAATGCGTCGAAACGTGAGGCAAACTATTGTTGACACAGTCAGCCTGGCCCAAAGCCCCCAGCACCCAGCACCCAGCACCCAGCCCCCAGCCTCCAGCCCCCTTTTGGCCATGAACAAAGAGGGGAAAAACAATTGCCAGCCCTATTCTATGAAATGCGTGTACATTGGAGCTTTTCCGATTCTAGTTGAGTGCGAAAATTGTCGAGAATGATGATGATGATGATGGGCTGAGCAAATAGAGCATTTCCCAGCACCGGAATCGGATACGGATTCGGATTCGGAATCGACTCAAATCAATTTCGGTCAATTAGGTCGCCCTCTCACGCCATGGGCGCAATTATCTGAATTTCGGTTGAAATTTGAATGGAAATCGGAATTGGTAATGGAATTGTAATCTGGATTCAGTGCAAATATAAAAGTAAATATGTCAAATATTTGCACGCCACTGCTACAGATTCAGATACCAATCCCGAGCACACACACCGAGTGGGTCGACTCCACTCCAAACGAGATACAATCGCACATCCGCCGTTCAGAGACGCCTCTGGCCAATCTCGGACCTAATCTGGCCAAAAGTCAATTTTCGAGAAGGTAAATCAAAGCGAAATCCCGGTGGAGGTTGAGGGGATGCCTCTATCTGATGGCTTTTTTCATCTCGGACTCGAGTGTTTGCCACCTGTCAAGTGTTGCAGTCAAAAGTTGCCCTTGCCTCTTGTCTACACTGAGGGAAATTAGCCCAAATAATATAGAAGCTATATAGAAATCTTTATAGTATAGTAGTACTCCAAGACTTCTCTCTGTTTATTATTTAACAATTATATCAATTAATTTGTATTTAATCTTGATGGATTAACCTATAATTTAAATGTTTATAAAATGTAGATTTTAATAGGTTCTAAATTATACATCAAAATAAACCTCTTTCCTCTGATTTTTAATTAGTTTAACCTAAGCATCAGTCCTCGTTTCCCCCAGTGTATGACAATCTTATTGGACCTGTCCAATGTCAACTTTGTCGTATTGGAGTGGCTCTCAGGGCAGCGGATTAGCAGCATTTCGGAGCATACGCTGCCCATCCTCGAGAGCGTGCGATTGGAGGCCGAAACGGGTCTGGCGGAGCAGGTTTCCGCCATCGAAAATCAACCTCGAAGTACCTCCCCCACGACCCCTGGTTGCTCCGCCCCTGCAACAGCACAATATGCCTCAATTAATAATTCAAAAGCCAATTGAAGGCATTAAGCGTAAATTCGTAAGGCGTACGTAATTGAGTCACTGCCCGAATGCCTGCATTCCACTTTGTTCATCGAAATTAAATCAAGTGCAGCATCTGAACGCCCCTCGGACGGGGGATTCCACCAAAACTATATATACATATATATATATATATATTAACATCTGAAATAAATGTCTTAATGGAGCTGTATAAGTGCTGACCTCAAATCGCTTTTGCTCTAATTTCCTCTCAGATGTTTTAATGTTCTTGAACTTTGTACAGTTTGCTCCCAAACCTGACCGATTCGTCTATTTTTAAATGCATTTTAGCAAATATTTCCGAAAATGTTCAATATGCATTTTAATGGGCCATGAACCGTAAGGTACTGCCAGCAAAAATCAAACAAAATTGAAAGCAAATTGCCAAACATGCCACTCTGAATACATTTCGATGTAAACAAATTACGAAAATTTCCATTTTTAGTGCAAATGTTTACAATTGCCCCAATCTACAAAGGCTTCAACCAAATCCCAAATATATTTATCTAAGTTTTTTTTTCGTGTTTGTAAATTGTGTTTCACTGGACACGGAAAACAATGCAAATAACATTTCCTTTATTTACTTGAGGGGTTTATTTTTTGACATATATTATTCTGGTGGAAGGAAAATATTTCTGTTTGGGAATTCTATAGAGAATCTAACCTTAACAAGATTTTTCTGGTTATTCCAAGATTTAAAATAAAATTATTTTGCTTTTTAAAAAACTTGTACCTCAAGTCATATGATAACCTCATAACCTCATATATTTTATCAGCTTATCAGGACGTGTTTTGTAACGACCTTGCCCACCAAGGTCATTTATATAGCTCTCATATAGTCACATGATGGGTTATTTATGGAAATGTGATTTTAAATTGTTAATAAATGAATGGCTTGAAAAGATTTCCGGCTCACAGAACGCAGCTTAACTATATATGTACACAAATATCGTGATTTTCGGCTAACCAGAATTCAGAATTCCAAAAATTATCCATTAATTATAGCGACAGCAGAGCAATTAATAAATCAGTCAGCAAACAAAGAAATGCTACATCACATCCACTTGTGGCATGCCAATTGTAAATAAATTTTGATTCGACTCGGGTGATATTTATATGGGAATCAAGGTTAAGATCAGCTAAGGGTTCGTATTCGTTAGGGGGGATTTTAATGAGTTTTTAAAGGGGGGGTGTTTGGGTTAAAGAAGATCTTAAGCAGGCACTGGAAAAAGTCATTTAAGCGATGCATTCGAAACGCTTTTATTTTGTGAAAGGCTGTTTTGGAAAAGTGCATCAAAGTTAATGATTTTACTTTCGTTTGCAACCAGAAAGTCAGAAGCACAAAAGTTGAAACTGGCAGGGGGAAGGGGGGGTGGTGCTAGTGGGTTAAAAGTGGGATTCATATAAAAAACTTGCAGCAAAGTTAATAGCATTAAAAAAAGTGTTTTTTTCTATTTCGTAGTGTTGCAGTTTTTAATGATAATTGGAATGTAGCAGTATAGTAGTATTTAGTAGTAGAACTAGTAGCAGTATTTAGTATTATAGAAGTACCATACAGAGACTACGATCTATATATGAATAGATAGAGATTCAGAGACACGGAGAGACAAAAAAATGTAGGAGATAGAGAGAGAAAGAGAAAGTTTTAGGGGAAAATTATTCGAAAGTTCTTCGGCGGTACCTTCACTGAATCATCCACTGCTCCACAGAAACTGGGATAATCGATTTGTGGTTTGGATACTTTTCGTATTTTTTTTTCGTATATTCTTATATTTCAGGTTGTTTTTTGCTTTTTGTTTTCAAAGTTTTTGTACTTTTAAGCAAAGTTTTCTGCAATAAAAAACAACAAACGACAAGGACACAAAATAAATACAAGTTATTCACGTGACGAGTAACGAAATCAGTACGAAAATCTGTATGAAATCAGGGAAATGAGCCAACAAATGAACAAACTCGAAACGAACAAAATAAAAGCAAACAAACTGAGCGGGAAATAACTTAAATGAGATTTCATCAGGGGGTGGGGTAAAGAAATTAAATTAACAATGCACAGAAACACACAGACACCAGGAGTCCTGCCAGTACATCTTTCGTCCTGTAAGTGTGTGTTTTTTTCTGCTTTTGTGGACTTGCTGCTGTGGAAATGTGGAACTAGAACTAGCTCAATTGGAAATATCGGGCTTCCTTTATTCACAAAAGAAGAACAAGAAGTGGGGGAGGAGCAGCCAAAAGGCTTATCTATAGCTCTGGCTCACTCACTCACTCATCAAGTCGCTGTCTCTGTCTGTTATTCGAATGTGTATGTATGAGTGTTTGAGTTTTAAGCCATGAATGTATGAAAGGCAACAACAATGCAGTCGGCAAGCGCTTATCAATGCACACACACACACCAACACAAACAAATGCAAGCCAAAATTCGGTCAGTGGTTTAATCATTGAAGTAAAAGCGAAAGCTTCCGCTAACACACACACCCACATACATACACTCACAAGCACACAATCACTCACTCACACAGTGACAGCCTGAATGTATGCAATTGCACTTAGAGTACTTTGACACTATTTCCTAACGGTGTTTTGTATTGGTAGTGGTAGTGGTGGTTGGGTAGCGGCCATTGTTGTCGGCCTAGCTTGACTTTTAATCTAGTTTCGTAATTGCATTGACTAGAGTGACGGATGACCCCTTCACGTATGGTGGTGGTGGTATGGGTGGATGGTGGGTGGTGGTGGTCAGGAAATCAGTTCACAGCAGGACATAAAGGAGAGCACTTAGCCTGTCGCTCTTTTCACTTAATCTCACACACACTCACTCACTCGCACACTCACACACTCTGATGAACGTGAACGGTAACAACAACAACATTAACAGCAATTGCAGCAGCAGCAACAACATCAACAACAATAACAGGGTAACTCAAGAAACAAGAAACAAGAAACCAGGAACAAGAAACAAAAGCATCGGACATTGAACGAAACAAAGTGTAATGGAACGTAAAGGAACAGTGAAAAGAAACGGAACATGACGAAACATAACAGGATACCCAGGGTGGAACTTTTTCCAAATGCAACATCAAATATTACTCATACGACCTGTATGCCTACTAGGCGTATGATTAATATTTTCGTATTTAAAATTACACTTTCAAATGTTTAATCTAAAATACATATAAACTTTCTTAAAAATTAAGCCAAATAGATGTATGCTTTTCTAAATATTACTCATACGACCTGTTGTACAAAGTTCCAAAACCACTAGTCGTATGAGTAATATTTTTTACAACAAGTACTAGTTTACTTCAAAAACAAAGATCCACCCTTGGAAAAACATTTATATCAATTTTATTATAAACAAAACAATAAAAACATAAAACATTCATCTCAAAAAAACCGTACAAAGGGGTGTGAGGGATCCCCATCATGACACAAAAACAAGAAATAGGGATTTTTCTCGCACCCCCGATAACAGTACAGGATACTTCGTGCAGAACAACAAAGTACAAGGACAGACAGAATGGTGGTTAAGTGAGTTTAGAGTTGTTGCTTCATACCGTTGATCGTTGGTAAAGGTTCCGAAGGCTCCAGGGCCGCTGACTCGGCGCTGAGTGTGTTTAACGTGCATTTTCTTGGAGCCACGCCTCCGCCGTTGCCACGTCCTCGTCCTCGCCTACGTCCGCGTCCACGACCACGACCACGTCCACGTCCACTGCCGCTCCCTGCGATGTCACGTCACCACCGACACTTGAATCCGAATCCAAATCCGAGCCACATCGAACCTCCACTCGCTCTAGGCTAACGAATAGTATCGGCTTGTTGGGTGTCTGGTTGTCGTTGAAATCGAGGGTTCTGGGGACTTGGGCTTGGTTTTTTTATGATGTCGGTGCTCTCGCCGTACTCCGTGCTATTGGCGCCGTAGAGGCCTCGCAATGCCCGCTTCAGTTCCCGGCCTTGTCATGTTTCGTTTATATATGTACGTGCATACTATATAGTAAGTATGCTTGTGTGTGGTTCGGGGTGTATACGAGGTGTTGCAGGTGTTTTTTTGGGGTGTTGCAAGTGTGGGTGCAACTTCCGTTTCGATTTTTGGCATTAACTAATACACAGATAAACAAAAATAAATTGCTTTTCGTTGTGTTACTACGCTCTGGCTGTCTCACTCGCTCCACATCGCTCATCCATATGAGTTTACTGGATTTTTGGGGTTTTAGACTTTAGTGGATTTATGTTTTAGGTTAGGTTTTAGGTTCTCTCTGGTGGGTTCAAAGGTGTCTTGTTAAGTAACGTCGTAGGTTCGTAGGTTCGTAGGGTATCTCTCTAAAAGGTAGCCTCTAAAATAGTCAACAGCACTGCTTGTATTGCTTATGGTTCTTCACTTTTCGTTTTTTTTGTCGGTTTTATCTGCTTTTTATCTGTTTTCTTGTTTGAGTTGCGTGTATAATAATACCATATGTTACTATTTATAGGTTGGTTTTAGTTTTAGTTTACAGCGCTTCTTTATTTCGTTATTATTATTATTATTTTTTTGGGGTTATTCGTTTGTACTCTGGATTATAAATGTCGTTTTATCCTCTACGGTATAGTTATTGTAGCTATATTTCGGTTGGTGGAGTACAGATGTGATGGTGGGGCCTGGTTATGGAAGTGAAACTGGAACTGGATCTGTATCCTGGAGCTGAAGTGTGGACAGGGTGGGCAGGATCGGAATCCGGAGTCCGGATCGTTGAATAATTTATCACAAAAAAACAAACTAGCTGACGCGGGGGGGATTATGGATGATGACGACAGCTTAGTGCTCAGTATCCTTTGCCTTCTCGTAGTCGTTGTCCTTCCACAGCCACCGCTCCCCTGCTCTTAAGTTAATGTTTGGTCATGAAAGTTTAACGAACGCACCGCGTTTTGGCTTTGCGGTTGCTTTTTCGCTTTATATAATATATTAAGTTTTTTTTTCGCTTTGTGCTTTTTTTTTCTGTGTGGCTTTTGAGGCAAATGGAAGCTATGCGAGTTAAGGCGGAGTTACGTCAAGGGAAACCCAAAAGCAGGCAGCTCGAAATTCGTCCTGTGTTCTGTGTCCTGCGGCCTATCTCTCTGTGCTGCGTGTGTATCCGACACGTGCCAGGTGAAACAAGGAGTCCGGACCCGGATCCTTGGGCGTTCTTCGGCCTTCGTCACCCAATTAATGCATTAATCGCCCTCGTTACTTATTTAGATGCAATTTTCGGAAAAGGCCTAGGTCGAGGGCAACAACAACAATAACGACAACGGTAACAAGGATAAAGGCTCAGGAATTTGGGAGCTCGGGAATGGGGCTTCGCTCTATCGGCATTATAAAAATAAATCCATACAGGTAGATTTACAGACTGGTGTTGTTTTGGTTTTTGTTTTTTTTATTAACTATATAAGTAATTCGCATTCGCGGCTACAGCTAGGTATCTTGTATATATATCGTAGGTGTATATATATCGTATATGTATATATATTTTGTATATAGAGAGGCAACTACTTGGTAGTTTTAGTTAGTCGTTAAGTGCGTTTATGTTGCGGTTATTTGATTTGCTTTCCTACGGGCGGAGACGCTCGTCTCACTGTCTACAAACTACGAGGTTAGTTCCATTACTCTATCTCAACGGGGTATTACGCTCTATATCCTTGGGCTCTATATATCCTTGGGTATCGGTATCGTCCAGCGGTGAACAAACGGCAACGAACTACGGTCTATGTGTTTTATTTTTTTGTTATGGATTAGACTTTATCTATAGCACTTGGTTTTTTGAATTTTCTTTTGTTCTTTTGTATATAGCGAGTGTCCTTTTTGTATATTTTTAAAAGTAATTTTTATGCTCGAGTTTTTATTTTTTTTGGTTGGGCTATGCGCTTATAATTTGCTCAATTTCATTGTTGCAGGTACTTTGGTTTTTTTTATTTTTGGTTTTTTATCATTACTTTCTATTTTTGGAAATCGCGTGTCCTTTTTGTTTTTTTTTTTGTTCTGCGTTTAGGCGTTTCCAGGCCGACTTGCTGACGTTGATTAAATAATTCTGCACTTGGAGTTGTCCTTGTTTTTTTTTGTCGCTGGCTTCCGCTTTTCCCTTAGTTTGATTTCAATTTTTATTTTATTTATTATATTCGATTTTGTCCCTTGTTGTTGTTTTCTATTTTTGTTTTTTTTTTTGCAAGTAGTTCTATTTGATTATGTAATTATGCTTGGTTTCTTATTGGATATTGAACTGTACGTGTGTCCTAGGTCCCTGTTTGTGTTAGTATTGGTGTTAGTTATACGTGTGTGTTTGTGTGTGTGCGGGTGTGTTATATGCGATTTTTTCAGCTGCTGCGGCTGTTTGTGGTGGTTTCGTTGGTTTCGTGGGTTGTGCGATAGACGTAAGTGGTTCGTCATCAACATTTTTCGCACATACATACACAATTCACGGGCGCCACACATTCGTATGTATTGGTGGGCATGTGAGTGTGCGCCTCCGACTGTTCGTATGCGCGTGTGTGTGTGTGTGTCTGTTTGGGGTATAGGTTGGAACTTTATTGAATGAAACGTCAGGCGATTTGATGAATTTTAAACAAATTATTTATAACGGAGACAAGGAGACACACACGCACATGCGAATATTAAGAGAGGACACACACGCACTCACCCACTAACACACTCACACACACACACACCAGAATCACCAACAACAACAGTGGTGGCATGAAAAACGGCACAGGACACAGGACACAGTGGCAGTGGGTGGAAGGAGCCCACAACGAAGTCAAAGAAGAAGAAGAAGAGGAGGTGGAGAAGGAAGAAGAAGAGAATGTAAGAAGTAGCGCAGGTGGAAGGAGCACAAGGTAGCCCCGAAAAAAAAGTGGGAGGAAGTGCACACATTAAATCAATGCTTCTTTTGACCTCTATTACATTTTCGTCCTGCCTTCCGATTCTCCAGCTTTCCCACTTGTCCTCGTCTCTTCGTGCTTCTTCTTTATTAAACTCCTTTTTTTTCCGAACCCACGACTACCTGGTACTTTTTTCACTGCCTCTGTTACGGCACTATTTTTTTTTTTTTTCTGCTCTATATACCAGATACACCCTCACTAGGTCTCGAACTTAATTTCATTACTTTTTTCCATTCGCTTGCTTTCGTTTTCGAATTTAATGGTTTATTTTTTGGGCTTTTTTTTATGTTTTTTTGGTTCTAAAGGTATGTCGCGCTGGCTCCTTTCGTTTTTTTCTCGTTTTCCACTTCTTTTTTTAATTGGTGTTTAAGTGTTTATCACAATGCTGCATTTGTTTAATTTTTGAATAGAGATTTTTTTTTGGGCAGCGCACTTAAACTTGCTATTGAAATCTCTTCTTTATGTAACGAAACGGAATAACGGCACACTCGCTGCTGCTGCTATTGCTGTGCTGGTGCTGCTGCTGCTGCGTTGCTGCTGCGACACGAACGAACTCAGCGCGACAAGTGAAACTTCGCTTTCGAATTCGTTTTCAGATTCAGATTCGCATGCCACTGACGTGCGCCGAAGTGACGGAGCCGAGCCAACGAGATTCGCTGAAAATCGATAAGGACAGGCAAAGTCGCCTGGCCAAAAATGCAGAGAAAGGGCAACAGGATAGGCAGGCAGGCAGGCAGGCAGGCGGGACTCACAGGCGGTGTGAAAGGTGAAAGGATATGGGGGGGATGGTGAGTGGTCGCAAAGGCGAACGGCACAAAAGCACATTCTTTTGCGGCCAAAATGAAACCGAGAGCATGTGGGTGGCGCGGCAGTGAAAGTGCACATGTCCTGAGTTTTGAGTATCTTCTGGTTTCTTCAACACTAGAGGTTCCACAAAAAGGCAATGTTTTAATATGGTTTATAACAAATTTTATAAATTATACTTTTTAAATACAATAATAAACATTTATTTTGCTAATTGTTAATAAAAATTATCATATAAATCAGTTATTCTTTTAAAATAGTCCTTTATTCCAAAACCATTTTCTTCAAAAAAAACCTTTAAAAATTGAAGCATACTTTTTTGGGTCCTACACAACCATACCAATTTGATGGCCCGCTACTGTTTACCATCGCGTGCCATTTCCGCTGAGAGCGCGAGTGCGCATTTGCCAGGCCTCTCACACAGCCTTGCGAGTCCTTTCGCTCTCCGCACTGCACGAAAAGAACAGAAGCCGAATCCGAGAACAGAATGAATCGCCGCCCGAAATGAGCTTCGGTTTGCAGCCTTTGTGTTTGCGCCCTGAATGAAAGTCCGCCATCAGGCATCGCCATCGCCATCAGCTGTCCTGGTGGGTTCTGTTGGACTCCAACGATTTCTCAATTGCGCTGCCCACGCGAGGCGGCGTCCAAGTAAACAAATACATGTGCGCACGACTGTGATAATAGGACGTCGCGCACATGTTCATGTTCAGCTGTAAGGTCAGAGCTCAGCGTGTCCTTACAGTGAGCCTTGGCCGACACAGACACTGATATAATATGCTTAAATGTTTATTTAACAAAATTATGAAAATTATTAATAAAAGAAAATAGTCTTCAAATATATACAATTAGTTTTAGCAAAAGCATGTCTACAAACGGGCAAGGAAAAAAACAAGGACTATGTACACGATGCAGTGAGGTAGACTGCTGGCAGTTGTGGAAGCCGCTCCCCGGACCTGGAAGTTGCCAAAGAAAAATGTTCGGGGCAGCTTGAGGGAGGGCAGTGGACGACATTGTCCCGAAAACCACTTCCGGGTGTTGCCATCGCTGTCACGCGATAAAATACAGATCTCAGCGCCACGCAGCTTCTCCTCACCCGCCGCCTGCAGATCTGCGATGCGGATCTGGGCCGTACGCTGGTTGTAGGCATAGTCCGCCTGGTGGAGCACCTCGTTGCTGGTGCTTCGCACATAAATATTAAAGTCTGAGACATCTGCTGTTGCAGAAACGTACCAACTGATGGTTAAATTTCCAGATTTTGTGCTATTGGGTTAAAAATAATTTAGTTGGGAAACAAAAACATATTTATAGCTTACGTTTGCACTTCTCGGAACCGGACATCAGTGAGCTGTTCATAGTCGGTGCCCGCATACGTATCACGCTCAACCTCGGCGCAGTGCAGGTACTCATCCGGCAGTACCAGGAGCTGCTTGTCCTTGATCAAAGCCGGAGTGCCGCATTGGATGCCTCGCAAGTCCTCACTTGGCGACGTTTGCTGCAGCATAAAGTGCTTGAGCGGACGAGCATTGCAGCCGCAGTGAAGGGGATTGCCGGAGAGCAGCACCTGGCTGCCATTCCGCATGCTGCCCACCAAGGAAGCAGGCAAATCCTCTAGACTATTGTTTCTCAAATCCACATACTTCAGAGTCTTGACCTTTACAATGTTGGCGAATGGTAGGTGATATATCTGATTATGGGAGAGATCCAGGCTGCTCAGGTTCTGGGGCAGATCGAAGATATGCTCCTCGGATGCCAAGTTAGACAGCTCATTGTGGGACATGTCCAGCTTCTGCAGAGATGTAAAGTTCGAGAGCACTCCCCGCCGCAAATCGTTTATTTGATTGTGGGAGACATCCAGCCGGTAGAGCTTCTTGGTTCCAAAGGTTATGTCATAGGTGAGCACCGGCATCTGGTTGTAGCTCAAATTAAGATTCCTGAGATTGTATGGAATGTACTGATACTCTGGGAAGGTCTTCTTGGTAACGAAACTAATCCGGTTTTGGCTTAAATCAAGAGTTTCCAGACTGAGCAGATCATCCAAGACGCCGTGAGTCTTGTTATCCAGCTTTGAGAGCATGTTCTGAGATAAATCCAAGGTACGCAGGGAGGGCAGACCGAGGAATATATCGTTTTGCAAGTGTTTTAGGCTATTCGATGAGAGGTTCAACTTGAGAAGCTGCAACAAGCCCTCAAATGCTCGTTTACTGGAAATATAATCAATATTAAAATAAATTCAAGAATGGGAAGTTTAATCCTTACCTGATATCGGATATTTGATTTCCGTGCAGGTTTACCTCAAAAAGAACAGGCAGCTTCCCAAAGGCACTTCGATCCAATGCAGTAATATTATTATACTAAAAATTAATAGGGTTTAAATAAAAATATATCTTATTCTTAATTAAATACCCACTTCTAGGTGCAAATACTGCAACGTGGACATCCCGGCTAGGGCCTCCAACGGGGGCTGACTAATGCCATTGTTTTGGAGCTTCAACCGCTGTACCACCAGCAATCCCGTAAAGCTCTGCCCATCCAAGCTGTCTCCCAACTGATTGTGGCTCAAATCCAAGTAAATCAGCGAATTCATAACTGGCCAGGTTCCCGCTGGAATTCCCGTCAACTGATTGTGGCTCAAATACAATTCATTAAGTGAGATGGGCAGTTGGAAGAGCTTCTCCAAGCGGTTGTTGTTTAAATACAGCTGCCGCATGCTGGTCAACTTGGCCAGGGAGCCGCGCACTATGGAAACCAGTTCGTTGTGGCTCAGATCCATTTCCAAAAGCGTGGGCAAGGTTCCGAAAGTGGAGGACTTGATTTCCGTCATGCTGTTGTAGCTCAAATCAATGGAGCGCAAAGAAAAGAGTGTCTGGAAGACCCCATTAAAAATACTTGAAATATTGTTATGAGACACATCAATTGTGTGCAGCTCGTAGAGTTTTGGGAAACAATTCTTGGGTATCTCAGCGATATTATTATGCGAGGCATTCAAAACACGTAATCCTGTCATATTTTGTATGGGTATCTAGAAGAAATATGGAAGTTTTTAGATTATGAGACTCAAAATTAAATTTAAGCTTATACCTGCGCCAAGTTGGTAAAATTATTGTAGCTCAACTGAAAGGTAGAGGCAAAAGTTGTCTCATCGAAGCTGCGACGCGAAAAATTGCTGAGAAGATTATGCGATAGATCCAACACGGTGATATTAACACAGTTCTCAAAAGCACCTGTTTCTATAAGAGCCAAAGCATTGTGGGAAACATTTATCACGGCTTGGTAAATATCCTTAAACGAGTTCTTCTCAATCTTGGTAATATTGTTCTCCGCCAAGTCAAGCAACTAAAATAAGATTCATTTTAAACGAATATCAAAAGAATTACAGATTTTAAACCCACCTCAACATAGTTCATTTGAGTAAACATTTGGAACTCAACCTTTTTCAACTGATTACGAGCTAAATCAATCGTTCCAATCCGGGCCACAGAACCGAAGGTGCCACGACCTATATCAGTAAGAACATTATCGCTCAGGAATAGTCGCCTTAGGAATCGCATTCCCCTAAAGCTGTTGGCATCCAACTTTCCAATATGGTTGTGCGACAAATTTAAAACTTTAAGAACAGAATTCCTAGCGAAAGTTCCACGGCTTAGTTCGTTGAGGGCATTATGCGACACATTGCACCATCCTAGTTTTGTGAGATCAGCAATATGTTGGGCCTCCAGTTTCTTGATCTTGTTGTGACTTATATCAAGGACCTCCAGTTCTCTGAGATTCTTAAACTGGTTTCGCTTGAGATCCTCTAGCTGATTGCCATGCAGGTCGAGGGTTTTCAGTTTTCTCAAAGGCTGAAAGGTTTCAACAGGTAGATCACTTAAAAGACCATTAGTCAGCCGCATTACTCCAAGGCTGTTGGTGATCTCCTGGTTGGCAAAGAGGTCTTTGGGCAGCTGCTCGAAGGCATGGCCGTCTATGACTAATTGTGTGGCTTTTCCAAGATTCTACAAATGTATTTTTATTTAATAATGTTTCTTTTTAATTAATATAGGAATACTCACGCCAAATCCTAGCTTTCCCACATGACTTAGATTTGTACGGAGCAGGTTCAAATGCTCCAAGGTGTTGTTTACTCCGTAAAATACATAATCCTCAATTGTGACCAATGGAGTCTCCTCTATGGTGAGCAAACGGGCTTTAATATTGGCAAATAGTGGACCATATAAACGCACTGGGGGGAAAGGAGAATGTCACAAATTCTTGTCATAAAAGGTTTATAAAATCATACCAAAATGTCCTCTGTAAATGGTGAGTTCCTCTATGGGCAGTTGGAAAGAGGCCAAGTTTTGCAGGGCCACGGCAAGAGTGGCAAGATTTGCATTTTCGCAGCGCACATATAGACCGTCGTCACTGCCTTTTTCACATACGCATGGATATAAAGCATTTGCTCTAAAAGAAAAAAAAATAATAAGTAGAGAAATCTATATTTTCATTTAAAAAATTACAGACTTTTTAGGGCATTTGAACTTGGGTTCCCCGTATACATATTCCGAGCTAACCACGGCCAGCAATTGCAGCAGAACAAGACTGCGCAGACGTAGCTGAATCATGTTTTTGGCCTTTATGTCGTCAGCGCTTCGATTAAGCCATGGTCTCTACCAAAAATCGAGTTTGTTGCTTAAGTCTTTTGTTTTTGGTGCTTTTCTGTGGCTTATGTTTATTTAAACAGCTATCCAGGCATAAGAAGATTAGATTATCTACTTAAAATATAAAAATTAACTTTGTTTTCCGCAGAAAGGTAAATATTTCCATTGTTTTGACTCACTTTTACTTTTCGCTCTGGTTGAGCAACAGGTTTTTCTTCGTCTCTTCCGCTCTCGTTTTGACCAACAGTTTCAGTTCCAGATATGAAGTTTTCCTGCTCATTAAAGCAATAAATTGTTAATCTAAGGTCATGCTACACATATTTCCTCTTCTTTTACATATATAAACCATATTTTTTATTAAAATATCTCTCTTTTTACACTTTTTGCGCTCTTGTTATCGATAACTTTAGCACAAGTTGGCAGTCCACCACTATACACGATAGCCCACCCGCGATTGATAAAGCAAAGGCAACCCTGTTGTGACAGCTCGCTCGTTGAAAAGTCAAAAAATTCCAGGCGCAAAATAAATAAAGTTGGCTGACGGTCCTAAAATAAGTCTTTATTGTACATTCGCACAAGCAAAAGTAAGTGTTAATTTCAAGGGGAATTGACGGCAATCAAATCCAAACTTGGCGGGTGCACACTTTTTTGGCATTTTGCAATTAAAGTAAGTGGGCATTGTTCACGTTTCTCGCTTTGCCGACGGGGAGAAATACTGACTTCGCCCGTTTTAGCCGCCGTCGCGGCAACAGCCAATCACAGCGCGCGCTACTCATACGCAGCAGAAAATCCGTGTACATACACGTCTCCCTGCGACAGTATTCGTGCCCGGGGAGAACGCGAGTTACTCGCTAAATGGAAATATGGTCATTTTATTTTTGTTGCGCGGCAAAAGTGCGTGCGGTTTCTTATCCACCTCCTATCTTATTTTCTTCTTCATAGTTGATCAGATATACCAGTGAAGGATGAGCTACGCCGCTGATGTACTAAACTCAGCTCACCTGGAGCTACATGGTGGTGGCGATGCGGAACTGCGACGCCCTTTCGATCCCACAGCCCACGATCTGGATGGATCCTTCAGGCTCACGCGCTTTGCTGATTTGAAAGGACGTGGCTGCAAGGTGCCACAGGATGTGCTCTCTAAGCTCGTTTCGGCCCTGCAGCAGGACTACTCCACCCAGGACCAGGAGCCGCAGTTCCTTAATGTGGCGATTCCAAGAATTGGCATCGGCTTGGATTGCTCGGTGATCCCCTTGAGACATGGCGGTCTCTGCCTCGTACAAACCACCGACTTTTTCTACCCGATCGTGGATGATCCTTACATGATGGGCAAGATCGCATGTGCCAATGTCCTGAGTGATCTGTACGCCATGGGCGTCACCGACTGCGACAACATGTTGATGCTTTTGGCGGTCAGTACCAAGATGACGGAGAAGGAGCGTGACGTGGTCATTCCTCTGATCATGAGGGGATTTAAGGACTCTGCCTTGGAGGCGGGCACTACTGTAACTGGCGGCCAGAGCGTAGTGAATCCGTGGTGCACCATTGGAGGCGTGGCCTCTACCATTTGCCAGCCTAATGAATACATCGTCCCCGACAACGCCGTGGTGGGAGATGTCTTGGTTCTGACAAAGCCACTCGGCACCCAGGTGGCCGTGAATGCTCATCAGTGGATCGACCAGCCGGAACGCTGGAATCGCATTAAGCTGGTGGTCTCCGAGGAGGATGTGCGAAAAGCCTACCACCGTGCCATGAACTCCATGTCCCGGCTGAACCGCGTAGCCGCTCGCCTGATGCACAAGTACAACGCCCATGGCGCCACTGATATCACCGGATTCGGTCTGCTGGGACACGCTCAAACGCTAGCCGCTCACCAGAAAAAGGACGTCTCGTTCGTAATCCACAATCTCCCAGTAATTGCCAAGATGGCTGCTGTGGCCAAGGCCTGTGGCAACATGTTCCAGCTGCTGCAAGGTCACTCCGCCGAAACCTCCGGCGGTCTGCTCATCTGCCTGCCTCGTGAACAGGCTGCCGCCTACTGCAAGGACATTGAAAAGCAAGAGGGCTACCAGGCCTGGATTATCGGGATCGTTGAGAAGGGCAACAAGACCGCCCGCATCATCGACAAGCCGCGTGTGATTGAAGTCCCCGCCAAGGATTAAATTATGAAACCCAGATGGATGATTGGATTCCCCATCCGCTTTCTTTCTTGTATAAGTATCTTAATTATAACGTAACAGCTAAACCCCTCAGTTGTAACCGTCAGTGGTGCGGTCTTTGTTTTTTATAAAAAAGCTTATCAACTAACAGATATAATGATCATCAGAATTATCGACATCGCTTTTCCATTACGTATGAATAAAATGGAAGACACTTGACTCTTTTGTATCGAGTAAATGAATAAGAACGTCTTTTTATTGGGTTACGAATTGCATTTAAGAGCTTTCGATGTATGCGTTGGGTATATATCTCAATTTTCTACGTCGTGGCTTCAATGAGATATTTAATATGCAAATAAATGGTATTTGGTTGACATTTTTGCTTAATTTAAATGTCAATATTCTTTGAAATAATTTCTAGAATTAAAAGAGGTAATTTGTTTTGCGAAAATGACTTATCTATGACTAGCAAAGTATAGTATAGCTTTTTAAACATATAGATAAGAAATCAACAAGTTCAATAACCTCTAATATAACTTTAGATTTTCCCAAAGAGTATCCCCAATTCGTTGCGACCCAGTGATCTGTTTCAACCCGCTCTATTGTCCATACAATTAGCATTAGCTGAGAGCTTTTTCAGCAAGCTTTGGAATCGAGAGAAAATTCTCCTGAAGAGCACCTGATGTATCTGAGTATCTCATGTGCGATGCTCTCGCCGGAGCAACTAGCGATCGGATCGCAGTGGGGCTTAGATGGGATCGTTGGTGGCAAGTGCGGAACTGAAGCCTCAGTACTGCTCGAACAAGCGACGCGAACGCGCAGCAGCTGCGAAAAAGAAAAGCGAAACCCTTTAACTACTTAGATACTACTACTAAATCGCGTACTGTGTACCGTTACACCAGTGCTGGGAGCGATCGAACACTAATACACTGACAGCGAATTTCCCGCAAATTGCAGAAATTTTCCTTCCCCCATTCAACTGCCGTTTTGGAGTTTTGAAAAAGTGCACAGTGAGTGTGTGTGAGAGAGAGAGTGCGATACATACATATATGTATCCATAAGATACAAATATTTGAAGAGAAAGAGCGTGTGGGTTTGTGGTTTTTGTCTATTGAACTGGCAGACGAGCTTAGTTTAAAAACAAAAATGAAAAAAAAAATGCTCAACACGCAAACACAACAGAGTCCCAAACGAGTTTTCCCTACGTGTCGGTGGAATTTGTTTTTGTAGATACATAGATGTATGTTTGGTATTTCTGTACGTGGAAGTACTCGCTTTTTTAAAGTGAAATTCGAATTTCGAAAAGCAGCAAACGCATCCTATTCACTTTAGAGATGTATCTTCTGCCCTATATGTATCTCTTGTTGGCCAGATGATTCATGTACGGTGTACACTCGATTTATTTCCCGAACAACACATCTGAAACAGACGGTGGCGCAGTATTCCGTATTCAAATTGAAAGACCAGTGGCAGTGAACTAAAAATAGAATTATTTGTTTTCATATAACCCAGCCGACCAAGCACCCAAAAAGCCAAAATAACAACAAAAACAACAACGAAAATGGCTCGGCAAAACGTTGAAAAGTGTTCGGAAATTCGCCTGAAGAGCAATGATGTATCTTTGTATCTGTGGCCGTGTTTTGTATCTTTGTTTTTTGGTGTATTTGTGGCGCACTAAACTTTCGTTTAAATTAGCCAAGTTCAAACGGCGTCCGCTCGGCTTGAACTCGCTGACTGGCTGTGTGTGTGGGTGTCTGCCACAAATTGGCAACTCACCGATACGGATATACTACCATTCACAGACATTCACAAAAAGTGGCAAGACTACCTAGAACACATATAGATAATGATACATGCCCTGACGGCACACAGCATATATAAACGTAAAATTTCGCCTACGTTTTCGGTTTGATTTTTCGGAAATTTCAACAACAAGAACGGTGCGGACGGGGAGGACAACAACACCTTCGCTTTTTTTTCGCTTTTCGGCCATTTCAAACTCGTTGCGAACGAGGTATTTGTTTATTTTATGTTTGTTATTACCATGGCCCACGTATGCGATCTGGCATTTGGCGATCACAGATCAGCGATCAGTGATCTCTCTTCCCCCGATTTTAACCCACGCCATGGCTACTCCAGTTTGTGCTTTGGAACTTTTCAGTTCTCGTCAAATAACAAAGAATAGTGGATTTCAATTGAAAAGAGGGATCTATTTTTTTAATTGCCAATTAGCCCAAAAATAATATAATTAAGCACTTTAGAAAACCTCTATGAAATATATTGTTTGTTTGATTTATTTTTGTAAATATTTTGTAAAACACAATTATTTAGCTTAAAAATGTTTAGAACTTAAATTAGATTTAATTAATTCTTATAAACTTTATAGAAATATTCATAGGATTAGGTACAAAATGGCTTTTTGCTATTAAAAATTACTCATACGCCACGTGGGCCCTCTAAGGGTTAAGGTGTCTGGAAAACAGCAACATGTTTCCACAGAGCTTCTATCTCATGGGTATATGAGATCATTTTGTGACCCGCGGGCAGCATATATACACATATAGTGTAGTTGTGTGAATGCTAATGCAAAAACAAAAGTAATAAACTAAAAGCAAAACACGCGCTTTGCTCTCCGATCGATTTAACTCTCGCGCTTTATTTTTCCTCGGTTGTCGCCAAAACTGAGACCCCGAGCGCTACTAAAAACGTGCTAAGATGGATGGCCGGACGGAAGGAGAGCGGTAGGAGGGCGGTATAGGTGGGGGTGGAGTGGGCGGAGGAATGGGGCGGAGCTGGCGACGACCGACGGCGGAGGCAGTGGCGGCGTCAATTAGATTTGGCCTTTTATTTATTGTATATTATGCTATTTTATGCGTGTTTTTCGCCTGTGTGCGAGGTTTTTATTTTATATTTTTGCCGTTCGTCTTTATTAGCTCTATTCTGTTGACCATATGGTGTGTCATCCCATCCCCCAGCCCCATCTTTACTCAAAAGGTGATTTATTTAAAGTCTGAACGCCTTGATTTGATTACTTAAGCCAGCTAGCCAGAGTTGACGTTTAATGCAGTTGCTGTCAAGCGCCGACTTACTATTGCTACATATATATTTTGTATAAACATATGACATCATCAACGGTCATCCTTGTGTGCTTGGCCAGATTTTTGCATCATCGCTCGTTCTCTATCTTTGTATCTCTCTCCTCAAGGTTATCGTTAAATCGCAAAAGCTGCACCAGCAAAAACAAAATTAAGCCGAAGTGAACACAATACAAACGACTATACACACTGTATACAATGTTTTCTCCGGATGTTTTGACGTGAGTGTATGCGGCCCCAGACAAAAAAGGAGTTTAAGGACACGCCGAAAGTGAAAACCAGTTTGACATTGAATATTTCGACTTTTTGCGCCTGCCTGCCCGCCTGCCTGCCTGGCTGCCTGATTTGTGTATTTTTGTGCGTTTTTGTGCCAGTTCTGAGTTTCAATGTCAGTCTTTATATTTTTTCGGGCTACTCTGCCAAAAGGGCATTGTAAATTCACTAAAAAGTTTAACGAAAAAGCTCATCGATATTTTTGTATTTCTTAAGAAACATTACATGTGTCTATTGTTCAAAATTATTGTGTGCCATATTGTGAAAGGAATTTGTTTTTTCACGCTTAAACTACTGTCGTAAATTTTGAAAACATGTGCTTTTAAGATTTTTGTTTGCAAAACTCTAAAAAATATGAAGAGCATATTGTTTTCTTAGATTTTGACGCAGATTGATGAGAAACAAATCTAAAAATCGTTTGAGGTACTCCTTTTAAGGATCGGATGAAAATTGGGGAAGATAAGGTCATCCCAGCGGAGCATATCTGAAAATACTGGATTTTACAAGGGGTCCATCAGGAAAAATGTGAAAAATTTCGATCAAAAAATTTGTTCCAGGTTTTTGATAGAGATTTATAGAGAATCAATCCAAAATTCGTTGAAGGTACTCCTTTTAAGGATCGGATGAAAATTGGGGAAGATATGGTCATCCCAGTGAGGCATATCTGAAATCACTCGATTTTACAAGGGGTCCAACAGAAAAAATGTGAAAAATTTCGATCAAAAATTTTGCTTTCGATTTTTGATAGGGATTAATAGAGAATCGATCCACAATTCGTTTAAGGTACTCCTTTTAAGGATCGGATGAAAATTGGGGAAGATATGGTGATCTCAGTGAGGCATATCTGAAATCACTCGATTTTACAAGGGGTCCATCAGGAAAAATGTGAAAAATTTCGATCAAAAAATTTGTTCCAGGTTTTTGATAGAGATTTATAGAGAATCAATCCAAAATTCGTTTAAGGTACTCCTTTTAAGGATCGGATGAAAATTGGGGAAGATATGGTCATCCCAGTGAGGCATATCTGAAATCACTCGATTTTACAAGGGGTCCAACAGAAAAAATGTGAAAAATTTCGATCAAAAATTTTGCTTTCGATTTTTGATAGGGATTAATAGAGAATCGATCCACAATTCGTTTAAGGTACTCCTTTTAAGGATCGGATGAAAATTGGGGAAGATATGGTGATCTCAATGAGGCATATCTGAAATCACTCGATTTTACAAGGGGTCCATCAGGAAAAATGTGAAAAATTTCGATCAAAAAATTTGTTCCAGGTTTTTGATAGAGATTTATAGAGAATCAATCCAAAATTCGTTGAAGGTACTCCTTTTAAGGATCGGATAAAAATTGGGGAAGATATGGTCATCCCAGTGAGGCATATCTGAAATCACTCGATTTTACAAGGGGTCCAACAGAAAAAATGTGAAAAATTTCGATCAAAAATTTTGCTCCAGGTTTTTGATGCAGATTAATAGAGAATTGAACTACGAATCGTTCAAGGTATTCCTTTCAAGGATCAGATAAAAATTTTCCAAGATATGGGTATCGGATTGGGTCAAATATGGGATTTCTGGAAATCCCAGATTTTACAAGGGGACCATCAGGAAAAATGTGTAAAATTTCCATCAAAAATTTTGCTCCAGGGTTTTGATAGAGATTAATAGAGAATCAATCCACAAATCGTTTAAGGTAATCCTTTTAAGGATCGGATGAAAATTGGGAGGAATAGGGTCATCCCAGTGGGGCATATAAGAAAAATATGGAGCATAAAAGAAGCTCCTTCAAAAACTTTGCGATTTTAGCATTTTAATGATGCCATTTGTATTTTATTTATATATTATCACTTTATTATGTTATTTATTATTGTTTCTGCGGTCTTGTTTGCTTAATTCCATTTAAAGAACTTGCTTATAGAGACTTAGCTTTGAGCCCACGTAATAAAGTCTTTTGAAGAAAGTCTCCGAATTTTCAGAGCATTTTGTCTTCGGCTGGCAGCCTCCGCCATTCCATTGTTGTTTTGGCATTCCGCGCCTTTGTGCTCTGAAGTGATGCCCACTTCAGATGACTTAAGCTTCCATTAATGCGCCAAAAGTTCTCACTTCAGATTCAGATTCAGATTCAGATTGAAAATGACGAATGCGGCCATTTTTGTTTGAATTGTGTGGGTGGGAAAAATGCCTTGAATTCTTGTGAACCGCCTTGAATAAAAAAAAATAATTCAACCTGCCATTCGGGGCATTCGACACAATCCATGATTACGTGTTTCGCAGACACCCACGTCTCTCTTGAGTTACTCACACGTAGAATTTGAATAATTTATGAATGATACTCGTTTCCGTTACAGCAAAATACTAATTGGAAATGCAGTACTCGAGCAGTTCGGAAAATTACTCATCCTCGTTGCGGGATAAGCCCTCCAAATGGGGCAAGGTAGGATATACATTTCAAGGACTAAACTTTTATTTTCTGTTACTTATTTTAATTTTTATCCACTAGAACGATAAAAACTACTCCTATAAGAAGTCTTCCTATCAATACTCAAGCTCGGGAGACAACAATGTCTCCTACCAAGGAAAGGCAGCCGATCAGAACATCGACCAGCTGGATGCCCTTCTGGAGGATCTGAAGCAGGAGCGCCAGAACACCAGCAGGGATCGGGAACTGCTGCCCAGCAATGGAACTTCCTATAGGACACTGTGAGTTCGGACACCAGCTCTGCATTATAACATTATCCTTGAATTTTTCTGGTTTATATCGCTAGGGAACGTACTGATCCTTCGGGAACCGTAACGAGGACAACCCGTGTCGTGAAGACCACTAAGCACTCCGGTTCCGGAGGCCAACAGCCCTTCATCGATGATGTGGAGACCTTCAGTCCCACTGACTACAGCACTCTGCAGTCCACGAACAAGTATTCCAGCTTGAAACGGGACGAGTTCCAGACCAGGGATAAGCCCTATAGCCTGGGTAGGTGACTGTAATCCTCGTTAAGGACTACAACGTCTTAAAACTGTCATTTTCTTTCAGCCCACTCCCCCAGTGGTGGCCACTACGAGAGTAAGAAGATCTACGAGAGCAACCGCACTATTAACAACAACCTGGAGCTGCTGCCGGGAGCCACCACCACCCAGACGGTGACCAGCGGCACCACCATCGACAAGGAGCTGCAGGACATCGCCCTGAGCGATGGCATCCTGCCTGCCCCCGGCACTAAGGTGACCACCACAGTCAGGACTTACACTTACGAGATTCCGGCCACTGGACCCGGAAGCAACACCAGCACCATTAACCGGAGCCACAACCTGAGCAACTCGAACACTCTGAGCAGCAGCTACAAGCTCCACGAGACCCACAACTCCAGCCAGAACTACTCGCAGCTTTCGCCGGTTCCGCACACGACCCACGTGCCCCAAACCGTGGTCTACAACACGGAGAGCTACTCCACGCTGAACAAGCCCAACGATCGCCCCTTAGTCTCCAATCAGTCGTACGAGATTCGGGAGCACAAGGAGACCACCACTCGCGGGGTCAGTCCCCAGCCGCGCCAATTACCCCTGGGATCGGGACCGGCCGGAACACCTCCTGGCAACCGTACCGTGGTCTACAACATCCACAAAACGGATCATGTGAATACGATCAATGAGCTGCCGCCGCAGCAGCGTTATCCGGCGCCACACAGTCCGGCTCATAGTCCCAACTATGGAGGACCACATAGCCCGCCCCTGCAGCCGGGCGTGAACCGTTACTACTACAAGGAGACGGAGACCTCGAACACGGTGAACAGCATCCACGGCCCACCCAATGGTGGAGCTCCCTATGAGCCACAACCAGCTCCTCTGAAGCAGCTGCCGCCAATCAACGCCTATCCACCGCAGCATCCGCCAAACGGAAACGGGTATCCGCCCAACTCCACCACATACAGCTACAAGTACTCCTCGACCACCAACACGAACAATCGTCGCGGGCCGGACTTTGGATCACCCTCGCCGTTCCCAGTCGATGGCGTGGAGTATCCAGTGAATGCCAATCCTCCCCAGAGGGTGGATGATCTGATGCAGAGCTTTGGAACTGTAAGTACATAATACTTTTTCGCTCTTTGTTGTGAATTCCTCTCGAGAATTCGAGAATACGAGAAAATTAGAATAATTATAGCTTTATTTACCAATCAAATTAGCATTAATTTACTTCGAAGATACAGTGATTATTGAAACGATAATTATACCTTACCTCATACCATGCGCTTTTTCAGACCACTGACCATGTGGATACCTTGGAGACTCCAGTGCGCAAGCGTGAAATCGAGACAGCAGTGGCCTCGCCTAACCAGCAGCATGTGCCGTCCGTGAACAAGGCCGGCAAGGAGGTCTACTATCCGCCAGGACACGACACCATCATAATGAAGCGCGAGGAAATGCATGCCGGATCTGCTTCAGGAGTGAGTTTTTACCAATAGTTTTATTAAAAACCTTTATTTACATGAATCCTTTTTTAGGGTCGCTGGGCCAAGGGCTCTGGAATGTACGAGTACGAGTCCGGCTCCAAATCAAAGACGAAAACCAAGTCCGGAGGCGCCGTAGTGCCGGTATGCCTGCCCCTCTGCTGTGCCATGCCCTGCTCCATTATGTAGATCGAGCAGAGATCACCCGGAATCTTTACTTGTACATAGGTTTCTTATTATCTAACGCTAAATCCTGCCCTGCCCTGCCCTGCTCTCTATCTATCGTCTAACTCCTATTGGATTTGCTTGTTGCTGCAATATGTGTTGTACGCGTAATTTGATTGCCAAATTTTTAATTGTCTATTCTATACGTTATTATTGTCTATGTATATAATTTGTGATCCGTCACTATCCTCTACGGATGATCGGATTGTTCTATTTTGTATGATTTTGATTCGAGTTTGGATTTGGGTTGCTCGAAATTGTTGCTCAAGCATTTACCAATGCTGTACCCCAAAAAACTAAAGGGATACTGGATATTGTTTTAACTGTAATTTGCATATCGCATATACATACCATATGCCAACCAACCTACCAACCAAACACTAATAAATGAGCCGTGGAATCCGATCCCTCTCGCCATTATTTGCGATTATTATTCGTTTTCGCCAATCGCCAAGCGCCATCGCCCCCGAATACCCACTAATCATAAACCATAAACGTAACTGCGACTTAAAATGGTAACCCAGTCGTTACAAAGCCATAAATACTATCTCTAATACACGTAGTAACCAGAATAAAAACGATATCTAACAAACGAATCAACGAACTGTCTGATTTTAATGCGTGTGGAGGGGAGGTCAAGCGAAACGTCTGAATTTGGTATAGTAAAAGTTTTTTTCGAGTTTTATTTTGGTATAAATCGTTTTTGATCGAATAACAATTTGCATATCACAAAAGTAATATCTACATTTTCACCTCAGAGGAATAGGTGTAGGTGTCTTTTGAGAAGTTCATAAAATTGAATGGTAACAAAAAAGCAATAAAACAACTTAAGAATAACAAAAAGTGTATAACGTATATAAGTATTTTTGTCACATATGGTATTGAATATTAAAAGGGACGATATCGGCTACAGAGACGAGTTCTTACTATTTGTTCTTGGATTACGAATTGAAGCTAAAATATGGATTAAAAAGTATACTACATAGTAACATGAGTATAGTATTGGACTTGCTACCATATGCTGCACACAATATGTGTCTAATATATATATATATATATTGATCATGTTGCCATGAGATGTCTTTTTCGGGCTACTCTAATAAGAGACTCTACGATTCGTGAAAGTAATGTTGTCCTTTGTACATACGAATATTGGATAGTTAGAAAGGTCACGCACTTTTACGTAGGCTAACTCTTGCGCTCGGAGTTCTTTAGCTCAGCTAAATACCAAGTGAAGGTCGGGAACTCCTTGATGCTGTAAATGACATACTTGATCGAGTTGATGCCATCGCTTTCAATTTTACTCATGCCATTCTGTAGATTCTCATACCTAAATGGGAAACGGATAATCAATAATGTTCGTAGGATTAAAACATCAGCAAGTTACCGCTTTGGATTGGCCTTCTCCTTCTGATGCTTTAGCATCTTATAGCGGGCTATGTTGACGGGGTACCTTGATATGAATAGGTTGGCATGCTTCAGGCGGTTGGACATGTCATCGTCCTCACCGCCCCAGCCAAAAAATGAGTTGGAAAACCCATTAACCGCCTGGAAGTGCTCACGCGTCATGGCAGACACTCCGCCAAATATTGATCGATAAGGCAACCTAGATATCAAATTAATTACATAATTTCTTCATGCTTCATATTTTATCTTCCAGTGGTAATTACTTGAAGTTGAGGGTATCTATCGCCACAGACATGTGCCGCGGCTGACGAGGACAGTTGTACAGATTTCGGTCATCCAGAGGCAAAAGATCCACGTCGTGGAATATGAAACAGTCCCACTGGTATAGCTTTAAGGCCTCCAAAAAACCGATGTTCATCATAGCTGCCCGATTAAAGGGCTTGCCATTGGTCTGCTCGACTATGAATATTCGATAAGCGATGCGCTGCTTCATCAGGAACGGGTGAATGTTACGCAGGAAGACGGACAAATGGGCGTATCGGTCACGGAAGGGCACCACAATGGCTACATGGTGCTGGGCGTTGCATTTATCTGGCTGAAAGGCGCCACCAGGGCGCAAAAGCGGACCCAGTTCAGCTTCGATAATGTCCAATGATTCGAGGGTTGTATTCGGTGTGATGGGTCCACCTGTAAGACATTTCTAGTCAAATTTGGCGCTACAAAGATTCAAGTGCTAGTTACCATCACGGGGATCGGGATCAGTGCAATTGGCATGGAGGGCGGAACTGGTTTTTTGACCCATGGGCAGAGCCTTGTACGTGCTCAGCGGGATGTGCGATAAGTCTTGTGGAATGGAAGTAAAGTTTGCAGTCGCAATCACAGTCGTTGTGGTGGAGTTCGGTCCGCCTTGCAGCAGTTGCTCCCGCTCCTTGGACATGGCCAGTGGAGCTGCGGGCAGCTTGCTGCTGTTTCCATAGATATGCGCATATTTGTGTACGCGCCGAATACTATGGATAAAAGTGATCGTTTGTATGAACAGTAGACCGAAATGGACTGCAACTTACCTGAGCTTGCTTAGGGAGGTGCCACTGGCCCCGTCCGTGCGGAAGCCCAAAAAGTTAACCACCAGCAACAAGCAGATTGCGCCGGCCACGAAGCGGATGAGATTCGCTCTTGTGAATCCGATCATGGTCCAAGGATTGCATCATACTCTGCTCGACTCGTTTCCTCTCCGCAGAGGCATTTTCAGCTCTAAACGGTCGTCGCCAGAATCAGAAACGTAAAAACTTGCAACTCCTCGAACCCAGCAGAAACACAGCTGACTCCAAGTTTTCTCCCCCAGATCGGGGTTGTCATGCGCCTGCACTAACAGTAACGTTGTTGTGGTTATCGGCGGTATTTTTAAATTAATATCGATAACATTCTTCAGTTCAAATGAAATTCATGCTCATCACAAACGTAAAATAATATTATTTCTTTTTAATTTAAGCCTAGTACTGAGTTGACGAAAATCCGCTGTCCAACGAGTGACAGCTGTCAAACTCCATATAAAAAAAACGGTGGAAAAAAGGAAAGAAGAAGAAATTTTTGCCTTCTAGATTTTGCGGGTACTGAGTTGACGAAAATTTTTGTTATCGATGTTTATCGTGTTGCCGGATCAAAAAAAATAAACAGCTGCTCTCGGGGAGGTAAAATAAATAGTTCAAATTATTTGTATAGGAGCGACATGGAGGGTCAATTGACCAAACAAAAAAATAGTCGGCCCGAAAAATTTTCGGCGCGCCAGGACAAATTAAAATGAATTTCTGCGGTCAAAACGAAGCCCATAATATGAGATTTGACCCACAAGGGGCATTTTTTTTTTTTTTTATTAAGTTACTTCTATCCAGGAAATTGGGGAAGATTTATTTGGCCGTCCCGAAGGGGCATTTTAATGCCATAAAATGGCATTGAAATGATTTGTGATTGATTTGGATTTTGATTTTGACCCAGTTTTCTATTTCTTAATCAGCTCCTTAGCGGCGAAATACATAAACAAAACACCAACATCCAATCGTTTTGAATTCATTTTTGCTTATTTGTTTTTTGTTTACAAACAACAGCTGTTCAGTATTACCTTATTTCTTCATTGTTTTGGTCACACTACCTCGGCAGCCGAATAAAGTGCAATTTCGCAAGCGGAATTTCAAGAGCGGATTTTCGTCAACTCAGTACTAGGCTTTAATAATTAAAAATAACAGTTTTCGAAAAAATATCTCAAAATATCATATATTTCTCATTTCCAATCTATTTCGTTATCTGATTTATTGCGCGATTCGGATCTCATAGCTATCCCAAAAATGGGGAATTACAGAGTGGCATTGTAAATGGGGGGAAATATACTAACAAGCGATATTTTCCCCATGTCCTGGGAATGGGTCTTTTCTATAAAGAATAAAAACAAGATACAAACACAACTGAAGATTTATACTAATTGCCGGGCAGTGCAGTTCAGTGCAGCGCAGCGATGTCACACTATCCAGGCATTGGAAGTCGCAGCGCCTCATTGTCCTTGACGTTGATTACTTGGAACTGATTCTGATAGGTATACTCGATTCGCAGGATCTTCTCATCTCCGATGCTCGGATCATAGAATCCAGGCAGGTCGCTCTATAATATGTAACGAAACATTTCACAAAAATGCTTTAAGGATAAAGCTCTTTTCTAACCTTTGATGACTCATAAAGCTGCAGGGTTCCGTCTTTAACGAGGCACTGAATAGGTATTGTTACGTCCAGCGATTGCTCCGGTTTGAACTGAGTACTACCCTCCACGGTACAGCCGTATACAGCCCGCGTCACAATCAGACCCATCCGCTCCAGCTCTTCGGTCATAATCCGATTGTAGGTGCGCTGCATCAAGTGGACAGCAGCACTTGCCTCCTGCCGCTTGGCCGTCAGCCTTTGTTCGTTCTGCCGTTTCGTTCGCTCCACCTCGATACTTTTCTTCTCCGCCTCCATAGGGTCCATCACTGTCTTCTTAATGACGAACCACGCGATAACCGGAGTCACCGAGGCGTAGAAAACGGCAGCAGGAACTATTTCATCGCTCAAGTGGATGGGAAATACATACGATTGATTTGAACGAATTATTCTGAGGTAGAAATTAATCATTAGAGATGTGGAGGTAAGACCAATTTTAAATAAACGCACTTAAATTTCAGTATGACTCCGGAAGGCACGCCAATTGAAACCGTTGCCGTCACCGAACTGTATTTGGAAACCTTCTTTTCCACACCGTACTCGCCCAAGAATCCGAAAGTTCCCACTCTGAAATGGGGGAAAAATAGTTATTTCTGTAATTATAGTAATAATTAGTTATCCATACTTGGTGGCCAGTTTCAGCTTCAGCTCATTTTCCATCAGCTTTCGGGTGTAAGAGAGACCAAAGTACACATGCGGCGTGCCAATCACAAAGGATGTGCTCAGCGAGTAGTTCTCCTTGGAGTGATCGATCTGCGTAGACATGGAGGATTGAGGACCAGCGTTTAACGTCAGACTTCCCATGGTGTGCTTGTCCAGCTGCACGGCTAGCGTTGAAAACAAGGCAGGTATCACCCCGTTATCCCGGAAGTTCAGGTTTGTACCACCGTTAAGCGTAAGCTTCTGCGTCAAAGTGCGTCCACCTAAAAAAAAAGGGGTACTTCAGATATGTGACAAAAAATATTCGACCCTTGTGAAGGGGACTTACCCTTGAGACCAAGTAAGAAGCCGTTTCCCGCACCAGCACAAAGCTCCAGCCATCCTTTATTGAGCAGCCGGCGTCCAGCTACTACGAAACCGCCACTACCGTTGCCATTTGAAGAGTACAGGTTGCCACTCATGATGATCATATCCTTACGCGTGATTGGAGCTTCTATAGACTGGGCAATGCTCATAGAGCCGATCTCCACGCGCGGCATTTCCGTATCATCGTACGGAGCAAATATTTCAGTGGCGTTTACATTAATGGTGATGTTGCCGCGAGGATTTGTTCTTTGCTGAAGACGTCTCTCGGCAGCAGCCTGCGCCAAGCGCTCGTACTCCTCCCGAATCTCTGCCGGCGTCTTGGTCCGGTGAACGATCTCCCAGCCCTCGGTGCGCAGACCCTTTTCTCCCACCGAGTCATAAATGGCCCGCTGGTGGGGATCCGACAGCACCTCGTAGGCTCGCTTAGTTCGATTGAACATGATCTCCGCCTTCTTTTTGCTGTCCGGGTCAAGATGCTTATCCGGGTGGTAAATGCGACTCTGTTTCCGGTAAGCCGTGTTTATCTGCTCCGCAGTGGCCTGAAATAAATGATGATTAGTGGGCAGTTATCATGAGATGACGCTGCACATACATCCCGTGGTAAATTCAGAAATGTGTAGTAGTTCTCCTCCAGCTCGGCGTCTGACTCTTCATGATCCGAAGCCATAGCGCTGATCCACTTCCTCGGTGGCTAATAGGATATCCTCCGGACGTGGGGCAAGTGCAGGTACGGAAGGCACGGAACCGGCAGCGCACGGATCTAACCGGCGTTCTATGTGTTAATTTGGGATTTCGAAATTTTTGGGTACTTTTACGCAATGATAGACTGATATACATGTGTTAAAATGTGCCTTTCGATAGTTTCCCCCAAAGCTGTCCGGTGCGGTCATACTATTAAGCCACTTCCAAAACAACGGCCGTCTAGTGATGAGATGCAGAAGCTTATGGCCAGCTATCGAAACGCGATATATATGGTCGCTTTTGAAACAAAATCAAGCGACACTTAGGATTTTGAATATATATTTCAATCACAACAATCTTTTAGTTTTGATAAAATTTATTTGCGTTTCACATAAAATTTAAGTTTAAAAAATTAGATTCTCATCCATCTAGTGAGCTTTCCACTACCATGCTAGAAATGTCATTGTGCTAGAAAAAAACATTTTTAAAACATTTATGTACACCAGAGGGGAACCCCAATTCGAAATTGAAGAAGCACACCACCACCTTGGCAGCCCTGGTCTCACTATCGCATATCGGCCACCCCGATTACGATTACTTACCTCCAGCCCTCTCACGGGAAGAAACGTGCTCGCTCGCCGTGCTCTGTTCTGACGAAATTTTGCTTTAATTTGACAATTGTTCGTGTTAAATTGCAGAAGTAGAATACAACCCAAGCCAAGATGCTGCGTGTACCCAAGTTTCTGCCTCGTCTCGCCCGCCAGGTCGGCGTTGCTCCGACGAACCTTTCCGGAGCTTCTGGCATATTCCGCGTAAGTATCCGCCGACTATTATGTAAAGTGCGGCATGTGCGGCTCCGCAGCGGGTCATGTTTTACGCGAATATTCGATGGCGGCAGGCTGACTCTTTCTCTTATTTTTTCAGACTCTGCCAGGTGCTAGCAATGGATTATCGAGTCAGATGCGTTACAAGTAAGTCGGCCTAGATTAATTCTGTATAATGTAAATCTCGGGTCTTAGTCCTAAAGCATATTATATGCTTTCCCGCTTATGTAATTGCTCTGTATGCAAACATTTAAGAATTTCCAGAAGCAACTTCGAGTTGCATCATTCCCAAAATAAAAAGATTTTAGTGAGATCCCCCCTAGCGATAATTGGAAATATCTAGCAAAAGAAACGTGGCTCTTATCTCTACTTGTTGCCGGCAGCCTTATCACCGACTAACCATATGCACCCATTACCATCCCCCTTTTCCAGGTCTGGCGAGGTCAAAGGTGCTGTTATTGGTATCGATCTGGGAACCACCAACTCCTGCTTGGCAGTGATGGAGGGTAAACAAGCAAAGGTTATCGAGAATGCCGAGGGTGCCCGCACCACGCCCTCCCATGTCGCCTTCACCAAGGACGGCGAGCGTCTGGTGGGCATGCCCGCCAAGCGTCAGGCGGTGACCAACTCTGCCAATACCTTCTATGCCACAAAGCGTCTGATTGGCCGTCGTTTCGATGACCCCGAGGTGAAAAAGGACATCACCAACCTGTCATACAAGGTGGTCAAAGCTTCCAACGGCGATGCCTGGGTATCGGCCACCGACGGAAAGGTCTACTCTCCCTCACAGATTGGTGCTTTCATCCTGATCAAAATGAAGGAAACCGCCGAGGCCTACCTGAACACCCCCGTCAAGAACGCCGTGGTCACCGTGCCCGCCTACTTCAACGACTCCCAGCGCCAGGCCACTAAGGATGCTGGTCAGATCGCCGGACTTAATGTGCTGCGTGTGATCAACGAGCCCACCGCAGCTGCTTTGGCTTATGGCATGGACAAAGCCGAGGACAAAATGTGAGTGTGTGAAAATGTATATCTTTATGGGATGAGAATGTGAAATTTCTTATCTCGGCTTTCCATTTATATCGGAAGGTGGCACAGCAATTCTTTCGGGGATCCCACAGTCCTTAACTAAGTAATCTATTATCCTTTCAGCATTGCTGTTTATGACTTGGGTGGCGGCACCTTCGATGTCTCGATCCTGGAGATCCAAAAGGGCGTCTTCGAGGTCAAGTCCACCAATGGTGACACTCTGTTGGGAGGTGAGGACTTCGACAATGCCATTGTTAACTTCCTGGTTGGCGAGTTCAAGAAGGATAGCGGCATTGATATCCGCAAGGACAACATTGCCATGCAGCGCCTGAAGGAGGCTGCTGAAAAGGCCAAGTGCGAGCTGTCCTCCTCCCAGCAAACCGACATCAACCTTCCCTATCTGACCATGGACGCTGCTGGACCCCAGCACATGAACCTGAAGATGACCAGGGCCAAGCTGGAGAGCTTGGTTGGCGATCTGATCAAGCGCACCATCCAGCCCTGCCAGAAGGCTCTGTCCGATGCCGAGGTCTCCAAGTCTGAGATCGGAGAGGTGCTTCTTGTCGGCGGCATGACCCGCATGCCCAAGGTGCAGTCCACAGTACAGGAGCTGTTCGGTCGCCAGCCCTCTCGTTCCGTCAATCCCGATGAGGCCGTTGCCGTCGGTGCCGCTGTTCAGGGTGGTGTGTTGGCTGGCGATGTTACCGATGTGCTTCTCCTCGACGTTACTCCCCTGTCGCTGGGTATTGAGACCCTGGGTGGAGTATTCACCCGCCTCATTTCCCGCAACACCACCATCCCCACTAAGAAGTCGCAAGTCTTCTCGACGGCCAGCGATGGCCAGACCCAGGTGGAGATCAAGGTCCACCAGGGAGAGCGCGAGATGGCCAATGACAACAAGCTTCTGGGCTCTTTCACGCTGGTGGGCATTCCTCCAGCACCTCGCGGAGTGCCACAGATCGAGGTTGTGTTCGACATTGACGCCAACGGTATTGTGCACGTCTCGGCCAAGGATAAGGGCACTGGCAAGGAGCAGCAGATTGTCATCCAGTCAAGCGGCGGTCTGAGCAAGGACGAAATCGAGAACATGATCAAGAAGGCCGAGGAATACGCCAGCGCCGACAAGAAGAAGCGCGAACTGATCGAAATTGTTAACCAGGGCGAGAGCATAGTCCACGACACCGAGACCAAAATGGAGGAGTTCAAGAGCCAGCTGCCCGCCGAGGAGTGCGAGAAGCTGAAGAAGGAGATTGCCGATCTGCGCACGTTGCTGGCCAACAAGGAGACCGCCGACCTTGAGGAGGTCAGGAAGGCTACCTCCCAACTGCAGCAATCGTCCCTGAAGCTCTTCGAGATGGCCTACAAGAAGGTATGCCACTCTGCATCCCTATGCCCCTAGTTCAGTTATGTAATTATTATTTTTCTATTTTTTAGATGTCTGCTGAGCGCGAGAGCAATGCCGGATCCGGTTCCACCGACAGCAGCAGTTCCAGCGACACTTCTGGCGAAGCCAAGAAGGAAGAAAAGAACTAAATTAGGCAACCATAGTCATAGTTGTTGTTCCCTTATTTAATAATAACCGCTTTTGGATTTCGATTAAGTTCTACGTTAAACACGAATACACCGTCATATTCCTTTTACCGAATCATGAATGAATTACACACAGACACACATCAGCATTTACCCAACAAAAATGTGTAGTAATCAGAATTAGATGCGATCCGATCAAATCAGACGATGTGACTTCCAAAGCTGAAAGACAAACACCAAACCGCTGGTTTAAAGAGGGTTATACCCTTGATATATGACTGCATAATGTTTTTATTGTTTATTATGCAAGCTCGAGCTCAAGTGGTCTTATACCATGTATATATATGCCCTTATCTGGAGCGCGTGGTCAGTGTTTCGTGTTGTGTTCCCTGTAAGATTTTGCTTATTTTTACGTATAATTCTAAACTAGTTGTAGTTGTACACTAAAGAGCACAGCACAAAACCCCATTTTGGCCAAGGCGACCATGGCGTTCTGGGAGCGGACGGATGAACAGATGATTATTTGGAGGTCCTACTTTAAGCTAAATGGTACATTGGTTTCCAGTGGACAACCAATTCGACTGGGTAACATCACTAACCATACAGCATATAGACAACCCATTTCATACAACGAAAATGGACGCGAAAATTTCTTGCGACAGGCCCCAGCAGGCCCCAGAGCGGATTTCTTACGCTCTCTTACGCTCATCGTTCGTTCATCTTACGCTCATTCTCGCAATAAATGTTTTCTGTTTCTCAGTCTCTAAACGGAGCGCGATGAAGAAGGTTGGCCTGCGCTTCGGTTGATCTTTGTATGTATGCGTGTCACACATTCACATACATGGGTGTATGTGTGCGTGCGATTTCGTTTCGAAGCCAGCGCACAAAATTTTGATTTTTCTTACTTTTAAGGCTTGCTACCCTAACAAAATTCGGGTATTCGTTATTTGATGAAATGACGAAAGAAATTATATTATTTTTTATTTTATTTTTTTTTATTATTTCAGCATACATTTTTAATTTATTTAGGAATAAGATTAAGTGTTAGTAGTAAAATGTTTTCTGTATATATATTTTTACGAATCATTAAAAATCAATATACTGAGAAAGTGTCAGAGTATATTTCGGTCGGAGTCACTTAAAGCGCCGATTGCTTTTAAGTTTTTGTTGTTCTGCAAGAGGCTTGTGCATGCCTACTCTAACGATGGAATGATTTTTAGGGGAGGGTGAAGACACGAAAACAGCTGATGGACTTGTTTACCTTTTTTGTTTACAATTTTTCAGGCACTTGTTATTATATTTTGGGTTATTGTGAGATTTAATTAAATTATTGTCGTTAATTTAATAATTTCCTTATATATATTTCCTTATATATAATAACTTTAAAAAGTAATTTAATTCTTCACCCGTCTTCACCCTCCCCTAAAAATCATTCCATCGTTAGAGTAGGCATGCACAAGCCTCTTGCAGAACAACAAAAACTTAAAAGCAATCGGCGCTTTAAGTGACTCCGACCGAAATATACTCTGACACTTTCTCAGTATATTGATTTTTAATGATTCGTAAAAATATATATACAGAAAACATTTTACTACTAACACTTAATCTTATTCCTAAATAAATTAAAAATGTATGCTGAAATAATAAAAAAAATAAAATAAAAATAATATAATTTCTTTCGTCATTTCATCAAATAACGAATACCCGAATTTTGTTAGGGTAGCAAGCCTTAAAAGTAAGAAAAATCAAAATTTTGTGCGCTGGCTTCGAAACGAAATCGCACGCACACATACACCCATGTATGTGAATGTGTGACACGCATACATACAAAGATCAACCGAAGCGCAGGCCAACCTTCTTCATCGCGCTCCGTTTAGAGACTGAGAAACAGAAAACATTTAATGCGAGAATGAGCGTAAGATGAACGAACGATGAGCGTAAGAGAGCGTAAGAAATCCGCTCTGGGGCCTGCTGGGGCCTGTAGCAAGAAATTTTCGCGTCCATTTTCGTTGTATGAAATGGGTTGTCTATATGCTGTATGGTTAGTGGTAACATGCAATTAAATTTAAACAAATCGATGTAAACTTAAAATAAAAACAAATGATATACAAAAAAATTATTTTATTTTCCTAACATATTGAAGTACAGTTTCGTTTCAAAATTCATCCATAAATTCTTGATGTATTAATCATAAATATTTTGATAAATAATCTTATATTATCTTTTTGTACATAAACTAGTCCATTGTTCGCTTTTCACAAGGGGTTCATAATTGGCTAGAGACCTAAGCTAGGATGGGGATGATGTGGAGTTTACATGGCGCCGCTCTGGAGCTTGTAGAGCGTGTAGTAAAGTCCTCGGTTGGCAAGGAGTTCCTTGTGATCTCCCATTTCACAGACGACTCCGTTCTCGAATACAAATATAACGTCCGAATGGACGATGGTGGACAGACGATGGGCTATGCTAATGGTGGTGCGACCCTCGGAGGCGGCGTCTAGAGCATCTTGGACAACCTGGACGAGATTAGAGGAGCGTTAGAAATGCTTATATGCTAGGAAGTTTCTAAGGAGACCCACCTTTTCACTTTCAGCGTCCAGCGCCGAGGTGGCCTCGTCGAGCAGCATGATTTTGGGGTTCCGGATGAGGGCACGGGCAATGGCAATGCGTTGCTTCTGGCCTCCAGACAACTGGGCACCCTTCTCTCCCATTCTTGTGTCGTAGCCCAATGGCAGATTGGCGATGAACTCATGGATGTTGGACTTCTTGCAGGCGGAAATGATCTCCTGATCGGTCACAGTCCTGCCATTATCGCCGTAGGCAATGTTTTCCCTGATGGTACGATCGAAGAGGATGGGCTCCTGGGAAACTATGCCGAGCTGGTTGCGCAGGTTCCTCATGGATACATCACGCACGTCATGACTATCAATCAACGTGGCACCTGCGTCCACATCGTAGAATCGCTGTATCAGCTGGATGCAGGTGGACTTTCCGCAACCGGATGGTCCCACCAGAGCCACCTTCTTGCCCTTGCCGACGCTCAGATCCAGGCCCTTGAGCACCTGCATCTCGCGGCGCGTCGGATAGCTGAACTCCACTCGGTCGTAGCGTACATCGCCCTGGCAGTGCCACGGTTCGCGGGACACTCCAGGCTTGTCCACGATCAACGGCTGGCGACGCAGGAACGTGAAGATGGACTTGGCGGCGGTCACACCCTTCTGCATGTTGGGAGCAAAGGCCAAAGCGTTGGCAATGGATGCTGTGCCCATGATCAAAGATTGGGATACCCTGATGGGGGAGGGTTAGTTTAGTTAAATGCTTCTTGTGGTAGAGCGCCATTTCAGTGACTTACTTGAAAACATCTCCAAATTCGAGTCCACGGTTGACGACACACCAGGCTCCGTAGTACATGCAAGCGGCATAGGCGAAGAACATCAGGGATCTGGCTAGACCGTAAAGGGCTCCACGGTAGTGAGTATTCTTCTTGGAGATCTGGAGGCGACATTGAATAACAAAATTAGAAACTAATCTCACCAATTCCCAGTTATTAAAGATAAAGGGTTTATTACAATCAAAGATTGTAGACCTACCTCAACGGCGGGGATCAGCATGTTAATGTAGGTTCGGTGGAACATTTCCTCGCGACCCAGCGACACCACAGTCCGGATGTTTGACACCACCTCGACGGCCAGTTTCGTGGAGTTCTCCATTGTCTTGGCCGAGCCCATGTTCTCCTTGGCCATCACAGTACGTTGCATGTAGAAGGCAATCAGGATGAAGGGCGTAAAGGCCAGAGCCACCAAGCCCAGGCTCCATTCGTAGTACATGGACAGACCCACACCCAAGGCCAAAGTGGCCACTGATTGGATGATTGTGCCGATACGTTGTCCAGTGGCCTGAAATGAGAAGAAGTCGGTCATTATTTCAATTCAAAAGAAAGACTCTAAGGATTAACTTACGCCTTGAACCGCAGCCGCATCTCCGGATAGCCTGGCACACAAGCTGCCAGTGCCATTGGCCTTTTCGTCAAACCAGGCCACCTCCTGCTTCAGCATTGTCTCAAACATGAGTCCTCGCAGGCGCTCCGTCAACCTTTCGCCAGCAATACCAAAGAAGTAGATCTGCATGAAGGTGGCAAAGCCCACCACGATGCCGGCGACCAGGAAGTATATACTGTATTCGTTGGTGTTCTCGCGCACATAGTCATCGTTATCCTTGATCGACAGAACCTGAAGGATACTGCCGAAGAGCACCGCAAAGATGGGCATGGCACAGCCCATGATTATCGAGGAGATGCAACCGATGGTGATAATCAGCCACTCGGGCTTGCTCATCTTCATCACCTCGCTCATGGGCTTAACTTCGTTGGGATCCTTGACCTTCTTCTTCTTCTTGTCCTTCTTGGAAGCTGCCTTCTCTTCCTCTTCGTCGTCAAGTATAATTTTGATGTCCTGTTCATCCTCGTCCTTGATGTCGAAGTTCTTGTAAATGTCGCCAGTGGGACTGAGCACCGAACCGTCATCGTCACCCATCTGGGTGGTCACCAGATTGAAGTAGTGTTCCTTAAGCTGCATCAGCTCCTGGTGGGTGCCACTCTCCACAACCTCACCCTGGTTGATGACCACAATTCGATCTGCCCGCCGGACCGTGGACAGGCGATGGGCAACAATGATGGTGGTGCGACCGGCGCTTACCTTCTCCAGGGCAGCCTGCACCTTCGCCTCACTGGCAGTGTCCAGGGCGGAGGTGGCTTCGTCCAGCAACAAAATCTCAGGGTTGCGGATCAGCGCTCGTGCAATGGCGATTCTCTGTTTCTGGCCTCCGGACAACTGAGCTCCTCGCTCGCCCACCAATGTGTCGTATCCGCGGGGCAGTTTCTTGATGAAAACCGCGGCATTGGCGGCGGCGGCAGCTTCCTCGATATCCTGACGTGTGGCGTCCTCTCGTCCATATCGAATGTTCTCATAGATGGACACGCCAAAGAGCACTGGCTCCTGGCCCACGACACCGATCTTGGCTCGCAACCAGTTGATGTCGATTTCCTTGAGATTGGAACCGTTGAAGAAGACATTTCCAGCCTGGGGATCGTAGAAACGTTGCACCAACTGGATGCAGGTGGACTTGCCACAGCCCGAAGGACCCACCAGAGCCACTGTCTGTCCGCGATGGATCTTCAGGTTAAGACGGTTCAGAATAGGGATCTCGGGTCGCGTCGGGTACTGGAACTCCACGTCCTTGAACTCGATTGTTTCGATTTGTTCATTCAGCTTCTTGCCCCCGGCATCAATGGGATTGATAGTGGGGATCTGCTCGATGATGTGGAAGACTTTGGCGCAGGCACCCTTAGCAATGCCAAAGGCTTCGATGTACGGGGCTGCCATGCCAATATTCATGGAACCCATCATCACAGAGAAGAAGACAGTGATCATAGTGCCAGGATCGTAGTTCGCATAGAACGGATCGTTGTATCCTTTAAGCACCAGACCCACTCCATACCAGAAAGCTAGAGCATAGGAGCTGTAGATGAAGAACCACAGCAGACCGAATCCGATTCCGGAAAACATGTTCCTCTTGATGTTCAGATACTTTGCGGCGATAACACTCGCCTTGTAGGCGAGAGATTCCTTTTCCTCGCCCTCGAAGGCCTTCACGGTACGGATTCCGGAGAGGGCGCCTTCGGCCACAACGGCGGCGCCAGCGTACACGTTGACCTCCTTCTTGGCCAGCCGCGAGGTGGCTACCGAGACCAGACCCATGGCGATGAAGGTCAGCGGCAGACTGGTGAGGCATACCAGAGACAACTGCCAGCCCTTCCAGAAGGCCAGGGCGAGTGCACCCACAAAGGAGACAAGGTAATGGACGAACATCACCACCTTTTCGGCCAGACCGTCCTCCATTTTGGACAGATCCCTGAAAGATTAAAAAACGTCATTAGTCGAGTAACTAGGCAGAAACTCAAACGTCATTGTTTTCCGATAAGATCGCCAGACAAATGTTAATATAATCAACTACTCTAGTTGATATTCAGGAAATATAATTCGAAAACGTCATAGATAAGACATGTTATTGGCTTTTTAACGTGGACATTTGCCATTAGTTGATATTCAGACCATAAAGAACTACTTACTCATTCATGCGACTGGCCACTTCACCGCTCTGGTTGAAGTCGTACCACTTCATGTCCTGGTGGAGAATGGAGCGGAAGAACTTGGAGCGAATGGTGAGGATCTGGGAGTGGGCGGCGTAGTTGAAGCAGGTGATGGATATGTAGGAGCACACCAGCATAATGATTCCAATGTAGGTGTTCTGCAGGGAGAACTCTTGCACCTTGTCGAGGAGTAAGTTGCTCATGTCGTCGTCAGCCCGGTACTTTCTGCCCGTTACCATGCCGCCAAAGTCAATCATGTCCTGCGATACAAATATTTATGAATTTAAAATTAAATGGGAAAATATTTAAATTTAAACTCACGTTGGCCAAGTTTCCGAAGATCAAACTGTTGGCTGGTGTGGTCAGACCCGTGGCTACCGCGGCCAGCAGTCCAATAATGTAGAGGAAGCGATCCTGGTTGGTGGCGTATCGAAAGATTTGGAAGTAGCCAACCTGCTTGATCTCCTCCTTGTAGGTGAAGCCCTCCTCTTCCGGTTCCGCCTCGTCATGCTTGCCATTCTTTTTCGCCTTATTGGGCTCACTGCAATAAATAGTTGATTATGGCGCACGCCATTGGTAGAGTGTTATCGAATGGCAGATTATATTGACGCCCATAGCCCTGAACCCCATGTACCCCTTATCTGCCCATGACACTCCACAAGGGGAGCTCGCTTCGGGTTTCGCCGAAGGCAGTCACTATCTGAACTGAGATATGGGTACACACATAGGTCGGAAAGTGGGTACAGATACACGTATCCCATTGGATTTCAGTTTATTGCATTAATATTATCAATGAACGAGCAGTTACAGCGACTGAAACATTCACTATTCTTTTTTATTCTATCAATAAAAATTTATCAGACAAGGTCACTATTAAATTTTAATTGGCATTTGATGAATAAACTCATAAATGAGTTTAAATATTTTTTTATTCTTGCCCATTATATTAATTTGTTCTTTGATAGGGAAATATTTTTTATTTTGGCCATTGTATACAAACAATTAGCCTTGTCATCATTGATCAGCAATTTTCGGAAATATCGCCAAAGTGATACACTTTAATGGAATTTTTGCAAATATCAGTTAAATTTTACACTTGACTAAAACAAGCGAATTGTTTTATTATCTTTTTCGATTATAGTCTGATTGAATTACTGAATCAATTTCACTCACAAGTGGTAATAATGTGGTTTGTACATTTATGGTTATGTCCTTTGGAGGAGCACTTTAAAAAAACACATAGAAAACTCACAAGTTCTTGCGATCCCGATCCTTATCCTCTAATTGTTGTCCAAGGACTATGTTTGTTTTGTAATGTTGCCGCGAATTCTCATCGTCCTTGGCGATGACGCCATTTGTTGCAGTCATTTTGGATTAATTTTTCAATTCGCAATGTGGTATTTTAATATACTATTAGGATTTAATTCACTAGAACACGATAATGGCTATTGGATCACATGAGCCAGGAAACCTGCTAACAGTTGTGCAGCCTAAAATGGACTATTAGAATATACCAATCGCCAGGGGCTTTTATTTGGCCAGAATCGGAGCTTTATCAACTGATAGGACATGTTTATCAATATTACTGAGCATGTATAAATTCTTAAGTCTAACGGTGAGTTAGGACCGCTGATGAAATTGTCCAATCAAACTAAAGCTATTCGGTTTGCACGTGAAACCCAAACTCGCCAAGGAGCGATAATAATGTTTTGGCTCGGAGGAACGTGTTGGTCGATCTAGAGATTCAAAGACAAGTGACTAAGCTCTGAAGAGCTCTGGAAGAATATCCAAAGTCCGGGACGTCCAAAGAGGGTGACTTCTATATCTCCTTTGATTTTATTTATATTGATAATGGTAATTGAGGAGAAAATCCATTGCAATGGGACACACCAAATCGAGTTGTCGAGTGTTATAAATGGGCATAATATATTTTGGCAACGTTAAGTTAATAGTCTGAGCCATAATTCCCTTCCCTAGATAAAGTGAAAAGTCATCATTATCGGCCAACTGGGGAATTGACGTATTGAATGTTCCGGTTGGATTTCCGAGTCTCCTCATGATTAGAATTTTTCAGCAACGATAAAGGTTTATTGAATGGTCTTGGCGTTAGTGGAAATCCATTTACCTCAGATGTTTGCCCAATAAAAGTTTAAATAATAGCCATATCATGCAATCAAACCTTTCGACCAATCTAACAAACAGAAATCGCATTCTTATCACTCGAGTCTGTCAGGAAGGCTTACTCATAGACCGAAAAATGGCGAATCAAAATTAAAAACAAAAAAAGCTACAAGTGACGTTTGGCTTGTGACTGGATGACTAGCCAATTTCCCTTGGATCCGCCAACGATTAATAACAATTATCTGGATACGGTAATGACCATTTATTGATATTTTTTTATTTGCATGCTTTAACAGGGTATTGTCTAGGAAATCCTCATCACCATGCGGAGGGCGTCGCGGTTTATCTTTGCCTGTTTGAGGATGTGACCCTCCACAAAGATGTCAGACTCGTATTGCAGATAGCTGACGCACTTGTCCACGTAGTGCAGGGACTCGTCCAGCCGCTCCTTGGGCGACAGGCTGGTCTCCAACGACACACGCCGGGTCTGTTCGGCGATCGCCGAATGCAGTTCGAAGCAGAGAGTGCCGAGCGTGCGAACCTCACCTGTGATAAAGCCAAACAAGCACTTGAGATAACACGGCGTATACGCAATAATTGACATTAGCACACTTACATGGCGCAATTTTCTCGTACAACTCGACAAGTTCCTGGGCAAACTTCAGTTTCAGACCGAGCTTCTCATCGGTGACCACCATCAGCTCCTGCTGGTCCTTGGCCAAAAGTTGGACGAGAAGAATTTTGATTTCGCTCATGTGGAAATGCTGGGGTGGCAACCATTTCTCATAGTGCTTGAGGTATCTGGAAAGGACATGATTATCCTTTTTACTCCATTCAAGGAGTAGATTCATAATCCTACTTACTTTAATCCATTTTCCGCAGTCTTTTCCATGCTCTGAATATCCTTGCCAGCACGCTCTAAAATCCTTTCCACGTAGTGCTTCTGCACCTGCTTGTGGCACTCCCGGACAACTGGATTCAGAAAAAAAATATCAGGATTACAAATGTGAAGAGTAGGTCCTCATTAATCCTCACCGCCAGCTACCATTCCACTCATCCGATTTACTGGGCAGCATCAAACCACCACACTGGCGATCCTCACACTTCAAGGCACTGTAGAAGGTGTCCAGCTCGGTGACATCCGCACATCTGGCACAGGCGCACTTGAAGAGCTTCGTCTGCATCAAATGCCTCTGGCGGTCAGCGGTGCCCCACATGGCATCCGAGTAGCAAATGCTTAGATGGGTATTCTTTTTGATTTCCTTCGGTGCCCATAAGATGCAGTGGCCATTCTTATTGAAGCTCTTGGCCAAATTCGGCAGACAGGAGTTCTCCGTAAAGGAAGCCGTATAAAACACACCCACATGTGGAGGATCTATTAAAAAAGAAGAGCCGTATATAAGAATACTGCCAGCACCATCCTGGATTTCAGAATGCTTTCCCCCACAAAATTTGGAAAAATATGGATAGATATTTTGCTCAAGGTTTTGATGCAGATTAATAGAGAATTGAACTACGAATCGTTAAAGGTATTCCTTTCAAGGATCGGATAAAAATTGCCCAAGATATGGGTTTCGGATTGGGTCATATATGGGAATTCTGAAAATCCCGGATTTTACAAGGGGACTCAGGAAAAAAGTGAAAAATATCGATCGAAAATTTTGTTTCGAGGTTTTGATGCAGATTAATAGAGAATTGAACTGCGAATCGTTCAAGGCATTCCTTTCAAGGATCGGATAAAAATTGCCCAGGATATGGGTATCGGATTGGGTCATAAAGGGTTTTTCTGGAAATCCCAGATTTTACAAGGAGACCATCAGGAAAAATGTGAAAAATATCGATCGAAAATTTTGTTTCGAGGTTTTGATGCAGATTAATAGAGAACTGAACTGCGAATCGTTCAAGGTATTCCTTTCAAGGATCGGATAAAAATTGCCCAATATATGGGTTTTGGATTGGGTCATATATGGGAATTCTGGAAATCCCTGATTTTACCATAAAATAAGGTGAAAAATGTGGATCGAAAATTTTACGAATCTACGAATCTAAAACTACGAATCAATGTATTCCTTTAGAGGATCTAATGGAAATTGGCACAGATATAGACATGGTTTGGGACGATAAATCCGTATTCTGGATTTCACAAAGGATTCCTCCACAAAAGTATAATCTACAGAAAACTGATGTGTTTTTAAAAGCAAACTACCAACCTGAGGTGGGTATTTCATGTCCATTAATTTGCAAAGCTCCCACAGCTCTCATGATCTGCTCTTCAGTAAACTTTTGGGTTTTGAAAAATCTGTAAGGTATTAAAAGACATGAATAAACAAAAAATTATAGTAACTTATCATCCAATACCAAAATAAAGATAAGGAAAGCAACGTAATTACACCTGAAGTGAACAAATTGCACAAGCAAATCATAAAGATAAAATATTAAAAGTTCTTCAAACTTAAAATTAGATTAGATTTTGTTATTTGATTGATTCTTAAATTTTAGGTAACTTATACCCAATACCTACTTGGGGATAAACTGTCCAATACTCGCCAGGTCCGCCTTCCATTGGTTGGATCCCCGACGGGTGGACTCCAACGACTCCAGCTCCTGGAACTTGGCGGCCTTTTCCGGACTGGTTTCGCCAATCAGGAGGCACCTTACAGTACTGACACAGGTGTAGAGGGGATGCGGGCCATTGAAATCGTTGACATTCACCTTCTGACCTCGCTCCTTGGTCAGCTTGCATTCGGCCTGGTGGTCCTCCAGCGACTTGCACTCCGGACCACAGAGCGGCCAACCGCAGTGCTCGCAATCGATGTGATCCTCCGCCTCGATGCTGTTCAGGCAGCCCATGCAAACGGGCGCCGAGATCTGGGCAGGACCCCGGACCAGCGGCGCCTCCCTGAGTATAATCTCATACGGCTTGATGGTGCGGGTGGCCACCAGGTGCCGGCCCAGCTGCTCGCTGTGGGCGATCTGCCAGCATTGGGTTGAGGTTATGTTGGATCAATAGAAAAGGGTTGCATATCCCACCTTGAATGGATGACAGTTGGTCTTGTGCGCCTTCCAGTCCTGCTTCTGGTGCTGAACGCTGCAGTAGGACACCTGGTTGCAGTTGGAGCACTTGGTCTTGGTGGGCTCCTGGCACACATGGCACGGATTGAGACTCATGGTACTCGGAGAGACGGGACAACACGGCACAATCGATAAGCAGAGTGGTCTCTGGTCTCAGCCACCAAAACGAATCTTTTCAACACTCTGTGAGGTGCATCCACCTCCGCACTCGCCGCCGAATCTCTTCCAACTGGGTTAACGGCAAAGCAAAAGCACTCATCTTTTTTTTTTCTGTATTCTATACTCTGAGTTCGGTTCTCTATAAATAGACCTTCTACGTCGCTACTGAGTGGACCACCACTACAGCATGCCCTGGGCCACCCTAATGCAATTAAATGAAAGAAACGGTAATTGATTTTTTTTTTTTTGGTTTTCCTTATAATTTTTGGAAGTCTATTTCAATAAATTTTTCTTCAGGGGTCAAGACATGCCCGGGATTTCTTTAAAAGTTCTAAAATGTAGTCTACTATTGGTACACCGCGGATTTAAATGAATCCAACACTTGCTTCGATATATACAAAAATCTCTCCGTAGCCCCGCTTGGGGGCTTGGGAGGCCAACGTTTTGCCACTCATTGTCATAACATGTAACTGGTAAGGCGCCCGAAAGCGGATAGCAATACGATTAATTTATAAATACAGTTTTTTACATAATTTTTATAGCCTCCACCCCAACAAAACACTGAGGTATACTAAAAAAAAAACTATTAACGCTTTCGGTTACGCCTAAACTTAGTTTTTGGCCTGCGTTTTGGCGGCGGCGGCGGCTGTGGCTTCAGTTTCGTCTGCGGCACCGTTTCCTCCGATTCCGGCAACGGTTGCGGTAGCGGTTGCAGTTCCGACGGCGAATCCCCAAGCTCCGCCGATGCCGTCAATCAAATATCAGTCTCGTCACTCGGCCCATTGGCCTCTCGCAGGGTCACAAACTTTTGCAGCGTGACGTTCTCCTTGTTGTTGGTATTACTGCTGCTGCTACTGCCACTTCGGGAACTGTTGCCACGCCGTTTCCCCTTGTCGCGCACCTTGTTTTCGTGAACACCGTTCACCTGGAAATTGTCGCTTTGGAATGATATAGAAATGGGTAGGCTGTAATCGTTCTGAAATGCAACAGTTCGGTCCCTCTCCTTGCCCTTCTCCGCATGTTCTGACGCTGGCACGTCGGCATTGGTGTTGGCATTGTAGTTTCCTGGAATCCAATGATAAATATATACCGCTTAACAAAAATGTTCAATAATAGCTCATAAAAACTAACCTTTGGCTCCAAACATCTCGGCGTGCTGCTTGCGATTCCGCTTGCCCCGCTTTCGCATGTTCAAGCGCAGGGCGGTTACCTTCATCTTCGATCGGCCGCGCTTGGAGTTGGGACTGGCGGTACGGAGTTCTGACTCCGCATCCATGGACTTGCGCTTAGCCGTCGGACTGGGGCTGCGACTTAAGCTTGGACTTGGGGTGGAGCGGCAACCGAAATTGCTTTCGGTATCGGAATGATTGTGCTGATAGGCGGTGGTAGAAACGTCCTCTTCATCGTTCTCAATTTCATCCTCATGAGCGTCATCATCATCGTCGCACTCATCGTCCTGATCAATGATCTCGATCTCCTCGGCATCGTCGTCGTCCGAAATGGCTTGCCGCAACATTATTTCGGGGCCACCTCCGTAAATGCTATGCAGGAATCGCCAGAGTCTGGCATTGAGTTGGGCGTAATCGGAGCCCAGACGCACACAACTAACAGTGGCGCTCCCATTCAGGGCACTGTTCTCAGAAGGTGCAGCTATGCCCTCGTTGTTGATCGGTCCCGGCTCCTTGTGGGTTTTTCCGCGTGAGAACTGCTGCCAGGATCGCAGCCAGGGCATCGCAATGGCATAAATGGCCGTCGAATCGAACTCGTTCTGAAGCCCATTGTACTTGGTAAACTCGTTTAGCTCGTACTGCTGGCGTCGGGCTAGCGTTTCTGCCGCTCGCTTGCAGATCTCGCACTCGAAAATTATGTTTACTGCCGGTCCACCGCCAAAGGTACGATACAAATAGTCCCACAGCGGTTGTGAAATAGGCACCGCAATTTGGCTGATAATGGCCGCCTTGGAATGGAGAATACCGCCATGCGGGCAGAGCATGTCCTGGTTATTGATCGGACCCGGCTCTGCGAATGTCGCCAATCGGGAAAGCCACTCCCGCGTGACATAAAACTGAATGTCCGATTCACAAAGCGGATGCGAAGTGGACAAGTTCATGGCCTGTTCCCGTATGATCTTCATCTGGGGATTGTGCTTCTGGTAGAAAAGTACATATGCCTGGCAGGTAGCAACAGTTTCGGCGGACACTTCCGTCACGAACTGGTCGTCGAATTCGTACCACCGACCGTTCAGAACATTGCGAGCATAGCAGGTGTAATGGCCGCCACCCACAGTACCGTGATGACAGATCACTGAGGATAAATTGTAGAAGGGCACCTGGCTCTTGCAATCTTTGTGGATATACGGACGCATGTCGAAGCCCTCCAATGGAAAATAGACGTCGGATGAAATCTTGGAACTGTAGGAAAGGTCATGACGAAAACGCTTTAGGTGGATGCACAAGACTTCGGGCAATGTGAGGACCCGGGAATACTTGATGCCGGTACGTAATTTGTTGCAACGCTCGCAGCTGAAAAATTTGTTGTTATTATCTAACCTTTTTGTAAAAGTTTAAAGTTACTCACCTATACATATTATCGCCTTTTAATTCGTCCGCACTAAAGAAGCTGGCCATACAATCGTAAAGCGTTACAGAAGGTCCATAGATCCAGGAACGCAGTACGCTCCACATCCACGCCAGCCATCCCTCGCTGCTTCTGGCTGACGTTTCGGCGGCATTCAGGCTCTGAACACTCAGGCTGTGCGTCTGGTGCAAAACGTTTAGAAAGTCGCGGTTGGGAATGGGTAGAGACAGGTCCTGGAATGTTTCCTCCCGTGTGGAGACACGATCGCAGGTCAAGCACTGTACCGAGGAAAGGAGCTTCCCATCGAAAACATCGCTAATTATGGAGCGAGCCGATTCCACAGGCTTCTGGTCTGATGACGCCGATGTGTTCTGCTGCTGCTGCGTTTGTACCTGTGGCAGGTGCACCTGATGAGCATCTGGCAAGACGCCGTTGGAGCTGTTTGTTCGACAGGGCGTCACAAAGTACTCGGTCTTAAGAAGCACCTCTCCGGATCGGTCTGACATGCTGCTCTCGCACGTGTCGTACTCGCTCTCGGACGCAGGAGTATGCGAGGCTCCAGCTGCCTCCTCTTCATTGTCTTCGTCGGCATCATTTGGTTTCTGTGGCTGATTGTGAGGTTGTGGTAATAGGGAGACCTGTTCGGTAAGCTCCTCATGTAGTTGGTCCATGAAGCAACGCAAGAATTCCTGTGTATCGTGTTGCTGATAGCCCCTAAACATAGGATGGACTGACCTGATGCCGTACAGAATGCCGCGAGGAGTAATGAATTCTACAAAACAACATAATTTGCATAAAGAAAACCTTTAGACCGTACTACAGTACCTTTACGATCTTCTATATCCTGCCAGATGTCCTGCATTAGGCGGCGATAGCTCTTCGCTAGTCCGGCGGGCTTACAGCGTCGGGCGCTCTGGTCAGCTATGTATTCCACCAGCTCACTGCAGTTAATAAAAAAATGCGTCATGGGAGGCAGATTGCTCAGAGCCTGTAGCGCCGAGTTCATATAACAAGTGTTGGCAATGTTCTGTAGACCCACAAGCCCGGTCCCAGAGCCAAGAGAATCGTCCCCACATCCATCGCTGCCACTGCTGCTTCCGTCTTCCTTTCTGGCGAGCGAGTTGAGTGATCCGCTAAAGAGTTGATCGTGGCATCGGCTGTTCCTGCGGCTGGGCTCCTGCGACATTGCATGACCGTTGGCCATCTGTTGGGGTAAGTGCGTTCGAATTAGAAACAAAGTGAAACAAAATCGAAAGTCATGTAATAGAGTCCAACTGTGATTGGCCAAAACAATGCCAACGAGGGGGACTCGTCTCTGCTCCACCCCTCTTTATCCATGACCCACTCAAGCGCTCACCTTGTGGCCTTTATCGTTGTGCTCTACATTGGGACTATTTTGCAGTGGGTTGGGACTCAAACTCATTATATCTTTCAAGCTCTGGGATTTCTATTATTTTATAATTTAATTGAGAATTTTGATTGGAAACAGGGACGAGAGCAGTGTGACCGCTGTGGGCTGTAAAAAAAACTCTTAAAAAGCGAGAAAATATACTAGATTGTCAATGTAATGTTTACTTACTATAAATTACCTCGAACTCTTTTATTATTAAAATATATAAAAACAGAAAGAAATATTAACACGCAATATACACATTTATTCACATTTATATTTATTTAATTAAAGATTCTATTTTTTTTTTAAAACTTAACGAGTTTGTATAGCGCCAAGGCTATCCGTCAGTATGGCTATCTTCGGAAAGCAGTTGGAAATTGCAAAATCAATGGCTTTTTCCAAGGCTAAAAGTTCAGCGGTCATAGACGACAGCTTTTTGTTAGTAAAGAAACTATCAACAGTATTTGACTTTGAATGAACAAATGCATAACCTGTAAAATTTTCCGAGACTGAACCGTCCGTGTAAAAAATGTCCATGTGTATTAAAAGAATTCAATTTTTTGTTCAACAAAGTAAAAACAATGACTTCATTAGCTTGCTTTTTGTTAACGCAGGTACCTTTAAAAAAATATGTCCGTCAAATTAGCGTCGCTCAGTTAGCGTCGAAGTGGAACGGTGGAATTGGAACACAGCAACGAATATTTTGTTTTTCAATTATTTCCGTATTTAGCCACTAAATTTAATCAAATAAACACTAGAATTATTAAGAATTGAATAAACTATTGTTTTTTCTTACTTTGAGCGGGTTCTTCACTCTTTAAGTAGCTCAAAAATGGGGTTAAAAAATTGCCCCTACACTGTATTGAGCATTATCTTAGAAATAAGAGGATGCGCCAATAAGCGCGATACACCAGCTTATAGCCCATTCTTTTGAGAATATGCCCTGAAAATTTCATTAAAATCGTTTCCTACGTTTTGGAGCAAATCGACTAAAAGTGGACCAACCCGGCTAACAGCCCATACAAAAATGACCCCAAAAAATTGTTTTTAAAATTGTGAAGCTCCAAGAGGATGCGCCAATATGCACGGTAGTGGAGTCGATGTAGGACCTTTTCAAGT